TCGTGGTGACTTCATTAAAATCTCAATTTTCTCACGGATTGTCAATTCAATGTGGCTGCATGCATGACTTTGTTGTGCCGTATGATGGGATGATGAGGCAAGATATTTCCATTTCATTGACACATTCCTACCAACATACATCGCATTGTTACGATTTCTTTAATTTACATTGTTGCCTTTACGGCAAGAAATCGCAATCGTAATTTAATCCAGAGGACATTTATTTATTTGAATCAATTCGATTATTATTGCACAGCTATCCAATCACATACTGAATTATTGATTGATTCCGAGATATTGCTGATTATTTGGATTTCGCATTGTGCGCGAAAAACCATTTACCTCTTCGGAATAATGCAACATTGTTTTATTTATTGATGAAAATCTGCTCAGTATTCAATTACGATTAGGATTACACACGTTCATCGAGTCACCTCAGATGCAGAGAGCAGAAGCGAGAGAGCGATGTCCCAAGACGAGGAAATCTTCTGACTGACCACGCCCTGACAAAGGAATAAAATAAAATAAATGAATTGGTCACACAAGAACCAGACCAACTGCTGCTCTGTCTTTATGGCTTCGATCGAAGGCATCTGTCTCAAATATCTAGTGAGCGAGCACACTCCCGGAATTGGCAATTGTTCCAAATTTAGCTCACTAATAAAGACAAATGAATGGATTCTCTCATTTTCTTTGCACAGACGAAAAAGGAACGCGTCAGTGCAGTACAGATCTCGTTTCGGAAATGCCTGAGTGCATTCAATCACTAAATAAATAAATAAATATGTAGATGGATAATAAAATAACCTACTTCCTAAATGAGAAATGGTACGTGCAGCTGCATATGCAAAATTATGGATTGGAAAAGGAATTAAATTGCACACTATTGCGACACAAAAGTCATCAAGATCATCATGCGTCTAGTTTCTTATCAGTCGGTCCGCGCCGCAAAATGAGAGATAAACTGTAGACAAGAGGGGACGACGACGACGAAAAATGTCGCAATTGCGACTAAAACTTACATGTATGTACATATGTAGAAAGCAGTGGCTGCGGAAGCTTGAGGGGACAGAGGGGCAATGTCCCCACGGTTATTTGATGTCCCCATCATCTCCCCATCTTATATAAACCCCTCCCTCCCCTATCCTACAATGGTAATGTCCCCGCATATGTCCCCACAGCTTCCGCGGTCACTGTGCGTAAGTAGTGCAATATTCTACGCGACATGCCAAACAATGCGAAAAATATAATAATCCCTCAATTGTGGATGGATGTCGATACTCACAAAGCGTCACTTTTGTCAAAGTCAGCATCGTATCGTTCTCTGGGCCAATGGCGCATCTGTGTAACGATATTGCTTTGCTTCTGGTCATCAAGGGTCAAATATCAAGACGCGGATTGCATAACGCCATAACGAGATCACATTATTGTTCCCCTGCTATTATAGCGTATCGCGTTTTATCATCAAATATTAATTGGTTTGGTGGTGGGTTGAATCACCGTAACGTAATATGTAATATGTACATATTTCGACTGGCTATGGGGTGCGAGGAGGGATAATGACACCTAAAACAATGGCATGAAAGAGCAAAAAATGCTCAAGGGGGATTTTCTTGTCTTGTTATGACACGATATTTCTGCTCGACCTTCATTGTTGAAATGTGTGACATGACGTGTTGCGGTTTTTCATGGTGGGGTAGCATCACGTATTGCGAAATGCGCAAAGCAAAGATTTCAAAACTGAAAAGTCTAGCGAAATTGGGATTAGAAATTAACAATGGCTGTTAAGACAGGTAGAGATATTTGTAAACTGATATGTTTACGTTTAATGGTACAATTAATAAAAACAATGCAAGGTTATTAACATATTTAGCAGGACAATAATAAAATAACGATACGTAAGTACAATTTGTAGGATCTCGAATCCGAATTTAATATAAATTAATTCTAAGAATTTTAGTTATTGGTGCAGATTTTAATTTTGTTCTACGAGCAGTTATTTGTCTAATGATTAAGGTTAAATGGCGTAAATTGCTATACTTATCATCAAATTTTTATGTCCTGATGAGCTTCTGTTTACTTTTATTGAGCATAATACATACATAAATCAAGCGTATCAAAACTAGAGCATTTTTATTTTTTAAAATTCATGTATACGATATCGAATCTGAATTTACATAATTTTAATTAATTCGTATTTAAAAAATAGCTAAAAACATAAACTCTAATGACTTTAATTATTGATTCATATTGTAATTATGCCCTGATCAAAGCAGTTATTTGTTTAATGATGCATTTAACAAGTTTAAATGGTTTAAATTGCCATACTTATGATTAACTTTTTATCTGCTGATGAGCTTCTGTTTAATAACTAGGACATTTTTGTACTTATCTAACATTCCATTATTTGGCATTCTACGTCCACGACACATTTGCGAATTATTAAATTGAGATGCATCCACATCCACATTACTTAACCCTCTGATCGTTTTTTTGCCCCTGATGAAAACAAAATTAAAATTCGAACCCATCAAGTAAATGGCGTCGCACATGCAAATCTGCAGTTATCCTGATTCTTGCCAAAGAACGTTCATTGAAATTCTTCACCAAGAAGCACTAATTAAAGAGGGGACGATGACATACAACGTTTAGTAAAAAGTTGGGGTTGGGTCATGTCTTTCTTACCTCTGAATAAATATTTCTAAGCATAAGAATTACAACAAAATAAATATTTCTAACTAATAAACCATAAGAATTATAAGAACGTTCGTCCTCCCCAGCCATTTCCACACCCTTCCCCCAAGCCCTACCTTTACATACATGAGACTTGACTTTGCAAATAAATGGTAGTCAGCGAAATATTTTGCTTAATGCAATCCATATCGCGAATTTGTAGCATATTTGGTCACCTCATTTCTCTAACGTTACAAATTAGCAGTAAGTAAGTAACAAATCACACGGAATAATTAATGAGAACATATTTATTATTATTTATTTATTCATTTATTTATACGGGGTCGACGCAGGATGTGAAGAATTCACACCATGTCCTCAAATCGGAGGCGAGAATTTGATGCAATAAAATAATATGTAATACTTAACACTGCTTGTCGTGGGATTTTTGGCTAATTTTTCATAATTTTTTGCATCTCGTAATAACACTAAACAATGCGCGAGCTACTAAATACAGAGCTAATTATTATTCGCCCTTGTTTTATCTTTTCAGATTTTTTGTGGTGATGGTTGGTGAATGGGTTAAATTGGAGACGAGCCCAATTGACTAAAAATAATGCGGCATTCTTCTCCTCGTTATTATTATCTGATGAGATGAACAATGTGGGGTGGCTTATTTAGTGAGATGATAATATGTACATAATAAAAATAGGTTTTTTTGTGGGTGGCGTACATCGTGTGGCGTTAAAAGTCTGCCGTCCATCTGTGGAGATTTTAGATTGTGTCGTTTTTTTTCTTGCAAAATGCTGGCGACAAAGTCAAGGTTGGTTTAATGAAGGTACTTCTATTGACAGAATTGGGAATTAAATTAACGCCATTCTTCTTTTTACGTGCTCTACATTACAAGACATAAAAACTTTGCGAATGTACTTACTTATTTTGCAAATTCTTACTTACTTATTAGCTGTGACATGTGTCAAACATTCAGTGAACTTGTGATTTACAACTGGCATTTGTTTATTAGCACAAGTGTGATTTTTCATGGCAAATTATTTATCTGTATTGGCAGTGGCCCCACATTTCAAACCAAATAGATGAACACAATTGGATCTTGAATTTCAAGTTTTTTGTTTCCATTGAAAATTGACAAATGTCGAATTACGTGTATGAAAGAAAAGTAAATTGTTGGGTACCATACCATTTTTTGATGCGGTTGAGAGATGAGATGACTATTTTTTTGTGGATCTATTTATCTATTGGCATAAAACCCACTGCACAATGACAATAATAATAAAAATGATAAATTAGTGGTTGACGCATATTCATGAGGAGCACTCTGTTCTAAAAGTTGGAGAAATGATGACGAAAAATGTGTATCAATCGTAAGAAGATAATTTAATTGCGGTGAATGCGTAATTTGGTAATTTTATTGCGTCCCATACATTTACATAGTTATCTAGCTGAGTAAAGTGATGATGATTAGAGGGCGGATATGTATTTATGAAAAAGCATTCAAATATTTACGACAAAACGCCAAAATACGTACGAAATTTGTACAAAAAACAAAAATATGAATTTTTGCAAAATTTGTATTTTTGAATAGGATTTTTTGTGGTCCGATTTCTTTGACCAAAAAAATTTCTTCTCATATCGTTGAAATGTCTGTATTTTTTTAAGATGTACCAAAAATTACGTATTGTTCAAATCATAGTGGAAAATTTCCACTGGAAATATGTATGTCTGAAAACCTAGAAATACTTACGCGTAGAAATATTTACAAAATACAAATATGCATGTATTTAAAAAAAACATTTATGTCTGAAAACCAGAAATATGTACGCAATGTTAAAATATTTGGAAATTTTTGTGATCTATAAGAGTTAGGGGAAGCACCTACAAAGTTTGACCGTTGGCCGTCATCAAATGAACAAATTTAAAATAAATGCATAGCCGACCTGTGATCATGATGGAAGAAACAAATGAATGGTTGCCTTTGCAGGGAGACTGGTTGTCAATTATGCCATAATATACATTACAGGAGGACCAGATAACTTGCCAACTTGTGCTGCTGGCTATTAAGCAATTACAAATGTAAAGAAATGGTAATTGCCTTTTAAAATTGGATCACTTTTTTCTCCAATAAGTTTTGAGAGTCCCATTGTTTGATTACACAACAAATAACGGATTGTTTGAATTTTGAGTTTGAATGATGTCAATGAGATTATTCACGTGAAGTGATTTTAAGATAATCGGGTAATAGGCAGCTAATCTAGTGGGATCTATGTATGGGTTGGACTGGAAGAAAATTTCAAGTCATAATTTCTGCATAATTTCTGTACACTGATTTATTTATTTAAGTCTTTCGTTATGGACGATATCCAAAACATTTTTGGATCACGCTGTGCACTCCAAAAGTGTCCAAAACTGACCAAAATAATTATGGACGTCTAAAATATCTAATAGCTTCCTACATTGGAGAATGGGGCCAAATGTAACAATATTACACAAATACGTTAATAGATTATCTAAATGTTCAGTAATGAAGAACTGGTAAAATTTTGCTCCATTTTCTACTTTGGATATTTTTGGACGACCAAAATCCTGTCCAAACTGGTGAAAATCGGTTGTGGAGAGTGGTTATAAAACCAAAGACCTTGACATTGAACTGACAGTGTGCTAGCTCATTCATAAACAAGACTCAATTTAAATCAATATTGGCTATTTTTTACCAGACAATATTCAAATTAAATATGTAATCCCAATTAAAGGGAGAGAGAGAGAACGGAAAAAACCGCAAATAAAAGTATTATAAGTAAATGGTAGAAAAAATTAAGTTATTATCTTAACTATTACTATCTTAGGCTATCATTAAGTTCAAATCAAGTTTAAAATTTGAGGAATCAAGTAATTTTAGACAACTTAGTAAGAAACTCATCAAGAACGGCGTAATTTGTGGTATTGGTGTTTTTTATCATAAAATTGTAATACGTTCCGTTAATTTGTACTAATCTAATGATTGGAAAGTCGAACTCTACTTTAGTTAATTGCATTCCTTGGGTCCAGATTTTACGCGAGTCGTGAAAGTTTTCACTATTAAGGCTCAGGTAACTTACAATATATAAGGAATTACTACTTTCCTGAAATTCTAAATATTGTAGTGGTAGTGAGAAAGAACCCGGACATGGTGAGTCCTTTGACGTCCATGTAGCTGCTTTAAGGGCAAAAAATGTCCACTTTCCCTTCTCGTTCTTATTCAATTGCACCTGACGGGTAGTAAGGCGATCTCCCAAAATATTGTGTAAATCTGGGTCTTTCTTGTTGATTTTTGCAGGTTGTTTCCGTTTTCCAGTGGATTCCTATAATTAAAAAATAAAGAAATTTAAATTTAAGAAAATTTCTCAAAAATTCTTCATGAATATTATAATCAACTAATTTGACTAACTACATATTCTGTGAGGATTGTATGGGTTAAAAAGCTACCTCAAATTGTAATTCAGGGACGAGATCAACATCGTTTTTCATAATTTTTGAGATTTGGGGAATTATCGTTAATCAGTTAATTAGTTTTAAAAAACAATTTCACTTTTACAATTATTAAGATTTAAATTCCTTGACACTAAGATTAAACTGAAGAAATAAGGATAGTAAGTAACTCACGCTATGCGTATGTAATATAATGCGTATGCGAATGCAACCCTTAAACTTTCTCTTCTATTATTAGAAAGTCCCGTATTCAACAATCCCTTAGTAGTTCAAAATATGACCGCTTCCAACAATAAAAATCCTTTGTTACGAATGACACGTCGATTTAATGCATTCACACAAATCCGTACCTCATTGAATTGAATTTGTACCGATCATTGCTCAAACCAGATAGTTGTAGAAATTTTATACAACTTACTGCTTCATTTGCTAGGTTGTACAGTTCATCCTCAAGATCTACATCATTCAGATTGGGAATACTGTTGAGTACATTCCTGAACGTTGGGCTACAAATATAAAAATTTGGGCATGTTACATAAGCATCACACTTTTCATAACAAAATTCCTGGCTTCAAAATAAAATGTGACTGGACATAATAATGTTAAAAATGACAAATAGTATAAAAATTTCACCTTTTGCATAAAGCGCAAGGCGCCGTTCCATGGGGGCAAGCCTTGTGAGAATTTGCTGGATTTTGCACGGATTTTGAAGAGTTAGCGGCTTGGTACATTTCTAGCAAATTATTTAACTTACTAATAACATAAATTTTAATGTAAAATTTTAATGAATTTTCTAGTGTGTCACTCACTTCTCTAAGGAATTTTTTCGGAGAAAGTACACTAAGAGACTCCGTGGATGATGACCAAACTGATCAGGATCGTGCCGTACAAAGGACCTTTTGGGACTTGGGGGGCGTCACTCCAGAAAAAAAGATGCACTCTAATTCATGACCAAAGTGGATTAGTTCCTCCCCTTTCAGGATTCTGTAGGTCCAGCCGGTCTAAAAAGTGACAAATGTTAAGGGTGTCAGTATTTTCAACAATTTCCAAAAGGGAATATGTACAACGAAAAAATTGCTAACCATAAAAATCTTCGCAAAATTTGTGTTTCAGAATTTATTTAATGCTCTAGATTTTGAATTGATTTGGGCAAAAACAGTTCGTCTCACATAATTGGAATATTTGCAAAATACAAAATGAATCTTAGAAAAACATTATCTAGAATATTTGTATTTTTCGAAGAATAACGGAAATAATTAGAATCTGTCTGAAAACCACAAATCAGTGAGACCTACAGGCCAAGTTCTTCTGTTAGCAGAAGTAGCAAGGGAAGCACTTTAAATAAGGTTCTACCACCCCATCTCAAGAAATTTTTATACTTCTAAGAAATCAATTTCTGGAAGGTAAAAATAATATACTGGAAAGTAGCATAGCAGAGTCAGAATAATAAAGTTAAGTTAATTCGGACCAGAAAGTGCCCTTAATTCCAGGCAACAAATCTTACTACGATGCTATACTTACATACACATGTAATAAAATTACCTTTCTTTAAAACACAATGTCAAAGTGGTCTATGCATGATGATTATTTGGACACAAAATCATGAAAGGGCATCATCCTAATGCAATTTGTTACGAAGAATATTCATCGTCCGTGTTAAGAGAGGTGACGTGGTGACACATTTCAATTCAGTTGTAAGTACTGTAGAACCTGGTCTTAATTATGTAAAGTGTAATATGTAAATAATGGTCCCTTTTTTGAGAGAAAAGTGACACAATTTTCCAGGTACCAAAAAATAAGGTATGTACATACACCTCAATACCAGATCACCCATTCAACAAGCTAGTAAGTCGAGTAAGAAAGCAATTATTGATATCGCTGTTTTTTGTTACTATATTTATTTATTACTTCGGCTGCTCTAATATCGAACTGACCTCCTCATTTTAAACGTTTTTCATTACTACGAGCAAATTTATTGTACTTACTTATCAAACAAGATGAACAATTTAAGTTTTCTCCGTGTTTTTTGCAGTGTCATCCTAATTTTACGTGTCACACCGACCGCGTGTCACAGTTTATACTCGCCCAATAAAAACACAACCTTATCCTCTACAGATATTTCCGGCAATAGTTCCCACCTTGTAAGAGAGCTTCGCCAAGGAAAAAGTGAGGTTCGGAGCCAAATTCCTAATCCTTGGGAGGGGGCACGCGTCAAATCACTGCTTAACCCACCGTTCCGTGGTCTTTTGCCGTTCATTGAATCGGGCGGATGCAAGGTGAGGAACAAAAGTCGTGTCTCAGGTACTTTCTTGCAACTATTTTGACCCGCAAGAAATGCAAGGCGCAGGAAACTACATATGTCCCGTCGTTATATTTCATACGGCGCGTGACTGGATGACGCATATTTCTTGAACTTTTTCCCAGTTTTTTTTTGCACCTCGCAGTTCTCGGATTTCTTACTTTGTGCAAGAAATGTTAGACCCGAAAGAAACAAAATAGTTGCCACAATTTTAACAAATTATTGAAAATATTGTCCATCTGTAAATATTGTAAATTTTTAGAGCGGCTGGACCTACAGAATCCTGAAAGGGGAGGAACTAATCCACTTTGGTCATGAATTAGAGTGCATCTTTTTTTCTGGAGTGACGCCCTCCCAAGTCCCAAAAGGTCCTTTGTACGGCACGATCCTCTCCATCTTCAATATGGAACAGTTCAGCGGAATGATGAACTTGGCGTGGTGGGGGAAACTCGTGAATCAAGTGGATTGTCCCGCACCAGGTTTTTCCCAACCGAGACCCGTTTTTATCGGGTGGAACAATCTGCTGGGTCAGTTTATTGTCCCATTTATTGCGAGGATAGGTCCCTTAGAAGAGAACCTAGCACCAGGTAAGTACCCAATTTGTATATTTACACTCTTAACGTAGGACTCGATGCCAAAAATCGGCACATTTTTAATCATTTCTCGGCTCTGAAAATTTATTTTAAAATTCTGGACGACAAATTTGTAGAGCAGGTTGTTGCCAATTTTTTAAAAATGCACACTCCAGATTTTGACATTTATTGAAGGAGATTTCAAGTTTAACCCTTAGCCGAGGAGAAACGGTAACTATGTTTGGCGTTGCTGCGGGGCGTTTCGATGACCACAATTGTGATCATTCGGGAAGCCAAAAAAATAATTAAAATCTGACAAGTTCTAAATCCGGAAACATTTATTATATGAGTTGCTTAGATTCGGGACGATTTTATAAATGCTCAATTCGGGAGAACGGCAAAACACGTTAGGAGAAAATTAATTGTGGGACAACGCCAATAAATATGATATTTAAAATGTTGAGTATTAAAATTTAAGTGTAACATTTTAAAGCAAAGTTGCATGATAATTTTAGAGTTATGAACTATGACTATGGTGTAAAATTATGACTATGCAAACCTACTCATGACATTTGTAAAATTGAGCTTGAAAAATGAAATTGAAATTTCCTTAAAATTGAAACCTCCAGAAAATTGGGACTCATTGAAACTGTCTTAAAAAACTTACCCCCATTACATTAATCAATTGCTCAGAATTTTAAAATAAATTTCCAGAGGCGAGAAATGATTAAAAATATGTTGATTTTGGTGGAGAGTCATCATACTATTTTCCCAGGAGAATAATGTTCTAAATTTTTGTAGGGGAATTTTACGACGGAAAAATCAACCTCGTCCTCGACTACACCGTTTCCTTTCCCGAAGTTTGTTCAGATTTTGAATGGTTAAAGGAAAGTCAAGGATCAGATATTCCCGAAGAAAATATGTATCCGCTCAATAAAGTTGTCGACATCTTACGGCTTGTCGGGCGTCAAGCGGACGGGGGTGCGATCTATTTGGGAAAGTCGTACGTGCGAGATTCCTTCGACGCGTCGAGCACCGTGATCTACTTTTACTTTGTTAATTACGATATGGAGGTCAACCCCGAGTTTGAACCGGGACAGGAACTTCCTCCTCTCGTGAGTACATACATCAAATTTACGTAATTAGTAGACTTTACACGAAATTATGTATGCATATGCAAATTATCTGCAATAATTTTCCAGGTGCGAAGTTTCTCTTACACGATCCCCGGACTTAACCAAATGGTCATCTAATTATAGACATAATTCCAATAATTTACTATATTTATGTAGAAAGAAAATAGAAATGTAGAATTTCCTGTAAAGTTTTTAACTGAATGAAACTGAAACCTTAAAAAATTGCTAAAAACAACATTCGCACCGTATTTATTGAGCAAAACTAGTAATAAGGTCTCTGTCTATTTTGTCGTAACATGTAGGAAACAATTACCCGTAAAATAACGTAAAATTTACACAAAAATATGCAATTAAAGCTCGTCATCATCTCATTTTGTTCGTCATCTACTTGCCATAATTTGAATTGACGCCGTTAAAGAACGGGGACGTGAGATAGTGTTGGAACGTGGTTTGATGATAATTTTGTTGTTGGAGGGGCTGATACGGTTTCTGAAAATTGGGGAATCCTCGCAAATTATTGTTGTAATTGTAGTACTCGCTACTTCCGTGATGGTGGTCGTGGCTGTGGTCGTGGTCATCGGACGAATCGTCTTCACGACTCTTGTCGAATAATTGGTGCTCTTGATGAATCAAGGGAACGGTTTCGAGGGTCCCATCATAACCAGCGACTGATCCAGGGTGAGAAATTGGGGTGACGTAACCACCATTCCCGCCCTGCTGGAAACCGCTACTTGTCGAGGGGGGATTTCTCGCCGGGGAAGTTGAAAAGGCACCACCATTGCCCCCTTTTTGGAAACTGTTACTTGTCAAGGGAGGATTTCTCACCGAAGATTGTTCAAAGCTAACCCCGGGTGCCGGACTGCTCGGGAAACTCTGCGCTCCTGAAGGAAACTGTTGTGGCCGTGGTCGTGGTCGTTGCGATTCGTCTTCCTCAAACCTAATCGAGTTTTGTGGCTGCTGCAGAACGGCTTGACCTGGTCCCGTGTGCGTGATGGTGACCTGGGCCATGGCCGCGTTCGGGATCCCGCTCGTGTACTCCTCCAACGTTTCGACAACTCTGGGCCGATCCCACCACGACCTTGGCGCATTGTATGGCAACCTGTCGAACGGATAACCCATCGGACGAGCATCGGGATACGTGTCGTTCAGCCGTCCGCAATAAATTGGCGCGGGTTTGCACTCGCCGCTCGCTCGGCGCGGATTATTTCTGGGCGCGACGTAGTCCTCGTCACCATTCGTGAGCATGACGAACAGGTCGAAGGGCAAGCCTCGCTCGGTTCCTTTGGGGAGAAGGAGATGGTGGGGCCACCCACAGCCGCAGTAGGTCCGAGGACGCTCCTTTATCCGGTCCTGCTTCGTTTGATTGAGTTGAGAGTAACTTTGAGGGATTTCGATGGTGAGGGCGGAGTCGGTGGAGCGTCGTGTGATGCGGTTTGGTCCGGGTTGCACTGAAAAAAGTAGGGAAAAATTAGTGATTTTTAGCTGTAATTTTAACGCTAATTTTAATTACGCACATTGAACCGTGAAGAGGTCCAACATGAAGAAAATCTTTCTTTGTTGGATCATATTGTATCGGCGCCCGTTCTCATCGAATCTTGGCGCCATGAAAATTCGGACGGTTGCTCGGCCAGAGGAGGATTGTGGGTTACGGTTCTGCAGGTGAAAATGATTTTTAAAAAAATAGGAAATTTCCCCAGCTATTTGTAAAAAAGCTTGCGTTTATTTTCACGTACCGCATAAATCCTGTAGGTGAAGGGATTATGGTCCAAATGAGTGATGCAGGCGCTGACAGCCCCTTGGACGCCGGACCTGTTAAAATCTAACCCTCTCGACAACTCGAATGTCCTCTGGTTAAAGAAGGTTGTGAGTTGGTTGGAAATTCCGACGTCGGGAACCACTTCAAGACTGGAAATTTCAATCCCGTCCCATTTCAGGGGTAACTCACCCTGTAAAAAAATTTTATTTTTCACATAAAAAATTAGATATGGTCAAATTCTTATACATACAAGCTTAATTATTTTTCCTTACATTTTCCAATTGATAAGGTGGCAAGAGTTGCTTGTGCAGATCGAACGTTTCGTCCATGGAGGTGTGGTACGTATAAAAAACGGGGTCTCTCATCGAGGTCGCCACCTTTAAATCAAACAACAATTAAATATCGTGTAAAGGAAGAAATTAAACGGTCCAGGGGAGGGACGGTACCTCGATCATGACGCCGGGCGGAAGTCCTGTCCGATTTTGTGGATCTTCAACCAACCCGAGAAGCACGTGGCCTTCATTGTGAAACCTGGATAAATATTGGCTCACTTATTTATTTCATATTTTTTTCCTATCCACATTTTTACCCAAAATTTCCGTAGTATTCTCCATTTGGGGTGAATACCGTGGCTTCAACGATATCTCCGAGAATGTCAATTCCAGTCCGGCTATCGAGTGGCATGCTGCCTCCATTTCTCTAAATAAAAGGATGAGACATTTTCACTCCGTAAATTTCCTAAAATTTTGATTTTACGTCTTTTTCGTACCAAAACCAATCCGCGATTTCGGATCGAATCCTCCACCCGTCTCACGTGTAGGACCCTGTCAGCCACGCTAATGTTTGGGGGAACTCCGGTAATATTGATGAAAACGGTGTCTCTAATGGGACGATTGGCTCGTCGTGGGGTCCAAGATGATCCAGAATTCGTGTCGTCCAAGTGAGGGTGATACGCGTCCGGGACGGGAGCATTAATGTCCATATTTAACGGGACAACGCGTCCCAATCCGTTCGAGAGTCGTTCAGCATGGTAGCTAAATATGCATGTGAAGGATTTGCATGTTTAATTATTTTTCAAAATTTTGCATTTATTTAGAATACCATGTCAAAATTCATGGATAGTGTTGCAAAATATTTGTTTGCAAAATTTTTAAGCGTCTGATAAAAATGAACGAAGCGAAATGAAATGAAATCAATTTCCCAACAGAAAGCTAACTTTTCAAATTTTCTGTGAATGCAAATTTACTCCCACGTTTGGATCCCCAAGGGTCGAGAAATATGTTGTCGACCAGTTAACTTTGGTGACCATTTATTTTGGCGGCGACAAGTTCGGAACCCTTAATTCTTTAATTAATTAAGTATTTAGAATGATTAAAATACCGTGCAATGTGGTTGTGATGGGAGAAGTAGAAGAGCTCCCCTTGTCGATCAGCCTTCCTTGTGACCCCGGTAAAAGGGTAGATCAGATGCCAATTGAGATGGAAAGAGTTAACCTGCACGTCTTCCCTAAAATACCTACGCACAACGAATAAAGCCATTATTTAGTGTCAAATTTATGTACGGCAGTGGCCGCAGAAGGACAGAGGGACAATGTCCCCACGGTTTTTCGATGTCCCCATCATCTCCCCACGTTATATAAACCCCTCCCTCCCCTATCCTACAATGTTAATGTCCCCAGATGTCCCCACGGCTTCCGCGGCCACTGACGTACGGAAATCTGTGTGGTCACGTACCAGAGACGATTTTCCACGCCGTTATCCCTCCCAACGCTTCCATCGACCACGGTGCATCGCTATAAATACCACAAGTAATGGGATTATGTACAAAATTTCGCAATTTCCTGTGCGTAAGTCATGCTCATGAATCATTTTTATGATGTGTTACTCACTCTGCCACTGGCAGCCTGACTTCCTTGACGTCTCGCGGCTTGAAGGGACTCTCGACTGATGAAAATGTGGGGCATGACCTCGACCATGGGGGGAACTTGAAGGTCGAACAGACCAACGTCAGACAAGTGTGCGCCTAACATTCCTCGAATCCAAACCTGTCATGTAAAACAAATTATGAGAATTTTGTTGGGATGTTGAATCATCCATCGTATGAAAAAATTTTTACGTTTGGATTCATTCCGGGAAGATCTCTCATACGTCCGGCCAAGCAAACGGTTTGTTCGGGATTATTTGGTCCTACGGATTTTTTAAAGGTTTGAAAGTTTGGAAGTATAGGAATAAGAAATTTTGAGATTATAAGAATAGGAATTTTAAAATTGTGTGTACAAGAAATTTTGGAATTATATGAATAAAGGATTTTGTAGAATAATAAATTTTGGAATTATGCGAATACGAAATTTTGAAGATCAAAAAAGTTTGAAATTAGATGAATAAAAAATTTTGAAAATATATAAATGAACACTAAATTTTGAAATTTATACCCGTAAGAATCGTCTTAACCATCCCAACTGCCATTCTATGTTCAGGATTGAGTCCATAGTACAGCGCCCGCTTGGGACAGGCTCTCTCAACATCTCCAATATCCGGTACCGTGCACCCACTAAATCTCGGATCCGTATTCAGATCCTTATTCCAGTCGAATATTTCACGAAACTGTGCCTGCAAACTGGCATTTATTGCCCCTCCTCCGCCACCATTATTCGGAAAATTCACGGCACCTCCGCCCGCCGAAGCGGATGCAGATGACGACGATGACGAAGACGATGGAAACTGACGACCTCCAAAAGTACCACGACCGCCATCCTGGAAAAATCTTCCTTGCGGTGGTGCTTGGGGTTGCTGGGGTCCGAATTGTCGACCAATTGGTTGAAGAGGTCCAAATTGTTGACCCACTGGTTCCTGAGGTCCGAATTGTCGAGGCACTCCACCAAACCCCGTCGAATAGAAATATTGCTGGCAAAAAATCCCGGAAACTAGTCCGGCAAGGCTGACTAATCCGACCCAACTTTTTGCCCCCATCTTGGTCGTCGTCACACACTTGACACTTGACTATAATTAGAGCGTCACTCACTATCAGATTAGCATTTATCTACGTAAGTAAAGGATCCTCTCTCTCTCCTCTGAATTGTTGTGTAATACCGCATAACACAACAATTTTACTACTTTGTTTGCCTTTCAGCCTTATCTGACCTCACTCACTTATCACCACTCACTCACTCCCTCTCTATACGCACATATACGTACAGCCGGTCACTATGAACGGCATCCCTCTCGGCAAGAGAATGAGCCAGAAAGAAGAAGAAGAAGAAACGGCGTAAATTTAATTGTGGCCGATATGCAGTCAGATATTTAATGATAGATAAAGAGGAGAAGATGCAAAAAATGAGCGTGCACTTTTAGCCTGTGGTGGTCATCTCACTTACTGAGAAGAGCTTGTATCTAGTAGGTAATTGTTATGGGGCTTTACCTCACAACAACATGTGCAGAATTCTTCCTTTTCCTTAGAAAACGAGATTGAGTCGCTCATCATGTCATGAATAATGATCTCTGAGAATTTGGCTATGTGTTGAAGGCATGTCTTACGTATGTGACGACTTGTATTCTTGAGCTCTGTTATTAACTAGCGCCAGCCACTTTATGTTATCGTTTTGTCCGTCCGTCCGTCCGCCTATCCGTCTGTGGACATCATATCTCCAGAACGCCTCAACATATAATCAAACGCCGTTTTCGCAATTAAGCTTATAATTTTTGAGCCTCGGTCGAGTTCGGAAATTGGGCCCTACCGTCAAGGTCAAGATGACCTTGGCGTGAGGTCAAGGACAAATTAGACCTTAATTTTCATATGCGGTGTCATTTTAAAACGAATTTCACCACGAAATCAACACCATCAATATTTTTGACCTCCGACCAACCCATGACCGTGACGATGAGGTCAAAGGTAAAAAATACATAATTGTCACACAACCATTCATTATAGTGTCATTTTAAAAGAAATTTCAATCGCTTTGCTACTCTTTTATCTTCGCTTGACACGTTTTATTTATTATTGCACTATTTTTTGCAAAGGTCGCCAAAAAAATGGTCCATAAAAATGACGGCTCAATTCCTACCTTTGCTAATTAATTGACTCCAGATAAGTCTAAAGCCAAACTACTCCATCACCATAAAGACGACGACGAAGGAAATGAATGACATTTCTAGCGCATACCGGTTCCCTTTACACGTTGGTCACGTTGGTCAAGCTGTTTACCTTACATACATTTTTACTTTTGCCTTGCTCACTTATACCTCCTTCCAGATAAGGCGAGGCCGCCCATCAAATGGGTGTGTGGTAAGGTCTAAAAATGCAAATTAAAAGTAGTGCAAACTTGTTTTACTATTTATCACAAATTAATTGGTCCACTGTTCACGCTATTTTTTTTACAGAGATAAGAACAACATAAGGAAGACAAAGGATTGTTATTTAATCGCATAGTTAAGGCGCCACTTACGTAAATTTATATATTTAATCGTGTCTACTTTTGCTGGAAGTACATAAAAATCTGGAGAAATTTGTTACATTTTTTGATGACAATGTTAAATACGTCATAAATACTTATGTAATTGTATTGTCATTAGTGGAGCAATTTTCATAAGAAATTCTGCACCTGCATAAGTATTTACCTAATCGCGTCAGTAGTCAAAATCTGGAGAAATGTGTTACATTTTTCGACGACAATGTTAACTCCTTACACATTTATTTAGTAATTCTATTGTCATTAGTGGAACAATTTTCACAAGAAATTCTGCGCGTATTTAGGATTAGTCCAGTAGGGAGGGAGTGGCTCAAGCGTGAAAGGTAGATGAAGGTGGTACTCTTTTTGCTGAAATTAATATTCGCTGAATTCTGAGCTATGTACAAGTAAATGGATTTCGCCTTACAATGGGTGTAAGCAGATTACAATAATCTGTAATACAGAAATATTTATGGACTTGTAATACCAGCATCAGTGCATTTATGTAGAAAATGAGCCAGTCGGACGAGTATGTGAGTAGAAACATGACGCATTTTTGCCTCAATTTCACCATGACCGTATTGTCTTGTTTTTGTCCCGGATTTATTTAGTATTCCTGACTGATTATTACAAGCTTATTACAAGATTTTGTGGGTGGGAAATACCACTTCTTCTTCTACTAGGTAGATATTTCTTCTCGTGAACTATTAACTACTTCACCATAAGTCATCCCATAATGTGATTCACGTGTAAGAATGCATGTACCTCACAAAATGAAATCACAGACCGGAAACTTTAAATGATGTGACCTTTCACCCCCAAAAAAAGATGTCATTATGTACTTGAGACGGCAGACAACCTCGTCATTATGAGGCTCCCTTTGTCACCCAAAGTTTCCAATTTCTTTCTAATGTTCCATACATAATTTTGTCAAAAAAACTTGAATCAAAAGTTTTCAATTTCTTTCTTTCTTTCTTTAATTTTCAATAGATAATTTTGCCAAAAAAACTTGAATCAAACATATATTTCCTCGTTTCTAATTAGGAAAATGTAAGAAAAAACTGAATTAAAAAATAGAAACTGTTTCAGAATTTTCATCCATTTCGACTACATACATACATACTTGCAAAACTAAGCAAGATGTGGATAGAAATGAAGCACGCCTACGACGAGATTAAGTGAAAAAGTGGTTGGACAGCTTAATAAGCAGCTCAAATATTGGACTCACTTTCAATTTCAATTTTTACAACGGTATTCACATTAAGACAAAACAAATCCGTGGGGGGATGGCAAATATTATGTAATCCAAGCCACCCATCATAACTAACTTCAGTCATGAGATGTAGATATGCATGCCTGCATTATGTAACGCGATCGAATCGACCAAGGAGATGTTATTATTGGGCTATGCATTTCTTATTATTGGGCTAAATACACGTTTGCCTATTGACAAGACTAAAGTCACCCACTTTTTATGAGTCATTAATAAATAAGGCTCAAGAAAAGATAGCACATTTCTCTAAGCCAGATACGATATCAACTAGAACTCGTTCTCGTTCTGCAATGTATTCAGATTCACATATGCGGATTATAAAATGAATTCTGATGCAACTACGAAATGCCTACTTTTATCTATGTATGTGCATACACGTGCAATTAAAGATACATCAAAAGCAACTGACACACACACACACCGAGCCAAATCTAGAATTGAATCTGTTTCGTAAATATTTATGTTATCGAGTGCAAATTTATGGAGCAAGTAATAGATAGTAAATAGTAATAAATAACTATCTATTTTACCATTATGCATGCACTTGCACCTGCATCTGAGTATCTGACAGTGACACACAATTTTCATGTTTACATTGCAATTAATTATGGTAAGTAAAATGTAGTTGCACTACATTTAAAAGTGTGTGTGGGTCAGTAGTGAATTGCATTCGTAATTAATCAACACTTACATATTTGTCTTTAATAATTTACTATAAAAGTAAAAGTTCTCTTGGTAAGAATGGCCAAATATTAAATTGTACACTTAATTAATGAACTATTTTTCTAGAGGAAATTTAACCCGAATAATTGACCGAGTATGAGCCCGTGTTGAGGTCAATATTTCTGGCAGGGTGGCCTTGAAAGTGTTGCGCCGAGGATAAGACGGGAGCTTGGGGTTGGGCTTGGTAATAGTTGGGTTGTTGGGGTTGGTACTGTTGGGGCTGGTATTGGGGTTGCTGGGGTTGTTGGTATTGTTGGGGTTGGGGTTGCTGATATTGTTGGGGCTGGGGCTGTTGGTATTGTTGAGGTTGTTGGTATTGTTGGACGGCTTGTTGGTACTGTTGTCCAGCGTTTTGTTGTACGACGCGTCTGCCCGTCTTGACTCGGACTCGTCGAAGTCCAGGTTGTTGCTGTTGTTGGGGTTGGATCTGATTGGCCTCGTAACCGTGTTGGTACGGGTAAGTGTACAATTCAGGGTCGTAGGAACCATCTTGAGGTCCATCTTCTCTATGGGGGGCTACTTCGGGGGCATTAATGTCCGTCCCGGTCGGGTAAAAGCCGGATTTTGATGCGCCATACTCAATTTCTCGGAGAGTACCGGCATCATCGTAGTAGCCATATTTTCCCTGAACTTGGCCTTTGTTATCCTTCGTTTCGATTTTGTAGGAACCGTCAGCATTTTCATAGCCGTAGGTGTAAGATCCGTCCTCATTTACTCTGTACAAAAAACAGACAATTTTGCATGAAAAATATGCCAATATTTTTGCAAATGTACTTAAGTTTTAAGGACAAATATGCCAATATTTTTGCACATTTTTAGTCCTAGTCAGGGCTTATGTACCCGTCATAGTCGTCTGTCTGTTTATCGCTAGTAAAACTTATCCAATCGATTTGCAAATTTTGCACACACATAAAACATGCAAAACTAGGAATCAAGATAACCTCATAAGATGAGCAAAATTTGGCAAGAAATAAAAAGCTGTCGTGGTCGTATAATACCCACCTCAATTATTAATAACCCCCTGACTCGGGCTAAATAAGTGGGTTTTGTATGCATGTACTTACTTATTGATCGACTTAAGAATCGGGACCGGTGTAGTGGTCGTTCTGTCGTCTCGGTCACGTTGTACTTGCGCCAAGCTAACCCCCACGAGGGCAATTACTACGATAAAAACCTTCATTATTAATATTTTAATCTGGAAACTACTACACGACTGACTGAAACTGAATCACAAACAAGAATGCGTGCGCCAACGAGTGACGAGCGAGGTAGCAGGGCGACGAAGAAAAATTTTATGCCTCTCGTTAAGGGGAGACTGACTCTTGCCAAAGTGAGTGGATAACCTCGAGTCCCTTTATATATAGGCGTTGTCTCAATGTCTTCTTTGTCCATCAGGATCAATCCCAATATCAACAGGTGGCAAAAAATTGGACATCCTCGTCGTCGTCGTCGAAGAATTTCTCACGTACTTATTCACATCTCCAATTGCAGCTAAAATCGCATCACACAGCTCAAAATAAATGCGTACGTAACGTGTGAGGGTATGTGATGTGTAGAAATCAAAATATGTAAGGTGTACTTTTATATTGACGTTATTTATTGAGCGCATTACATCAGAGATCACACCAATCGTGATCAGATCGCATTTGGTTGGCCGATTGATTGAAATGACTCACTCGTTTTTGGCGAAATCTTAAATAATAAAGAGGGACAAACATGCGTGAGTTTGCAGAAATTGTGTGTCAAATCGATCTTCTTTCATGTTCTGGAGCATTTTCTTTGACGAATTGTCTCATTCTTCGCTTGAATTGGGTTATTTGGTGACGAAATCAATGGGGATAAAAACCAATCTAGAAATGCATGTTATTCTAAACTGATACATAATTATGTCGTAAACTGTAATGTCATGATCTTCCTCGTCAAAATATGTATGTCCACTAAAAGGAGGGAGGAGTTGGGGTGAGGAGGAGCTGGACAAAGATACGTTGATGATGAAAAATATTAATAGCTTATGTCCATACATATGTAGCTCATCTTATTAAAAGAGATCTTGACGAAGGATGGGAGTTGATGGCCCTCAGAATGCCTGGAAATTTGCATAATGCATACACACGCGAAATAATAATGGAGGAAGGAAATTGATTTCGTATGGAAATGTTACCGTAGAAGGAGAACCATTCATTTTGTGATCTGCATTAATTTTTAATCATTATGTGGATCAGTTATTGGTAGTGGTGGTCTGGTCACAATATTTCTTGTAGTGCGGTTTGTGACTGATAGACCACACCAGAAACCGCATTGGTTAAGATAACCTTGATTCGTGATAATTACCAGGTATCACATTCCTATGGAATAATTATGCCAAAAATTTGGCAAATTTTGCACGTCCGTGTTCCATAAGATGGTGATCATCTACCAATCTGCAGTAATTTTCTCTGGGTAAAAATCGCACTTAAAATTTTATTTTCCGGCGTTAAAGAATGCAAAATTATTCAAATTTTACTTTAAATAATTTATTGAATATTGATTACTGATTATCGATGGATTTGGATGCATGCATGTAGGTGGGAAATGTGGTGGATGAGTGAATAAAACGCGATTTAAATGCAAATGATGCTAATGGTTCCTGAGTCAACAAAGGCAGCGAATCATTAAAGTCGTCGCTGTATGAAAATGTAATCAAGTTCGAGGTGGATAAAATTGCTATCAATACGATAATCAATTTCTATTTACATTATTACACTTCTTGTGACCATTGATGAGGAGTCAATTAATTAATAATTGTGACGACGGTGGTGTGGTCCTTGAGAAGAAGTGGATTCTTTCGTCGTATATTTAATTGCGAATTTCGTGCGAATTTTTCATCAGAATTTCTTGGAACTAAAAATGATTATGTATTAAATATTTTTAGTGTCATTTAATATAGTACATAATCAGAGGGCGGATATGTATCTATGAAAAATCGCTGAAATGTGTATTTAATAGTAAGGAAAAACGCCAAAATATTTCTTAAATATATATGAAAAAAGCATAAACGTAAAATTTGTATTTTTGAATTTAATGGTCTGGATTTTTTGTGTTCGAATTTCTTTAAGCAAAAAATTTCTTGTCACATCATTGAAATATTTAGAAAATATATGTATTTTTGAAAAACTTATCTAAAAAAAAGTATTTTCAAAAAACATTTATGTCTGAAAACCAGAAATATGTATGCAACGTACACATATTTTTAAATTTTAGTGGTCTATTGGAGTTAAGGACCGCATCTTAAAGTTTGACGATCGGCCACCTAATGAAAAAGTTGAAAAAAATAAATACACATCCGCCCTTTGCACATAATACGTATGTAAATAAGTAGAGTTAATTTCTATGTATATATTTTGGTTTATTCAGTCAATCTGCATTTCAAAAATGGACAACTTTTCAAAATAATTGCAGGCATTTTAATACTATTAATTAACTAACTAACAATTGAATATAGGTACGTACAGTCGGACTATTTTACACACATGCATATTTAATCGTATCATTAATTAACTAACTATAATTAATTAATTACCTAACTACTCCTACTACTCAGTTCTGTACATGTACATGAGATGATCAATCAATTGACATGCCGTATATGTTACACACTACTTTGCAGAAAATGGGTTCAGAAAATATACACGAAAATATTACACAAACTTATTTACAGAATTTACATACATCAAGAAAATACTCTCCGAATTTTAATTATTAGTTCATCTTCGTCTCCTCAAAGCCAAAAATTTCATAAGCGCTTCATGCACAAGTCTCGGACTGATTGTGCCATCGGCCGTGTATCTAACACCACGCAGGAAGGCGTTCTGATTGTTGAGCACGCCATACTCTCCGACCACAAAGCCGTCCGGGGTCCGCTCCTCGACGCGGTACCGGCGAACATTGCTGCCCTCCAAGACATACCCAAACTTTGCCCCCTTGTGCTCACTTTCACCGGAAGGAGAATCACTATCACCGGGTAAACTAGTACTAGAAGAGGAGGAGGAAGAAGTAGAAGAATTGGAAAAACTAGTGGTTGGGGTTGGGGTGTTATTATGGCTACTGCTACGACTAACACTAGAGTCACTCGGGTCCCTTAAACTGGTCAAGTTTAGATTTTTAAAGGTGTGGTGGTAGCTAAAGTTGAAGGTTTTAAACTGGTCGAGACTAATGGGACGGGGGGAGACGGGAGGCAGCCCGAGGTGGTGGTCGAACGAGCCATCGATCGAATCCTGATCGGGATCTTCTTCCCCAAGAATGACGAAACTCCCGCCGGATGGTTGTTCTTCTTCGGCGTCGGCTGCTTCCGCATCGCGCGGATAATCCTCGTCGCGTGGAGGAGGAGGAATCGGAATTCGGCGACGTTTCGGTGAGTATTTTGAGGAGGAGGTGAAACTTCGCGTGGTTCGGGAGGTCGTCGTGGTTGGTGGACGTGGAGGAGGAGGAGGATGACCCCAGTTCTGTTCGGGAAGTCCCCACACTTTGGCAGGTTCACCCCATACTTTGGCTGGTTCTCCCCAAACTTGGGCCGGCTGGCCCCATACTTTCTCAGGCTCGCCCCATATTTGTGGTTGCCAAGGTTTGGGGGTGGTAGTGGTCGTCGTGGTGGTTGTGGTTGTGGTCGTAGTGCTGGGTTCTTGGGGGTACTGGATCAACGGTAAGGCACGAGGATCATCTTGATCATGGGAATCGTCATCCGTGGTGGAAGTGGACGAGGAGACGGACACGAGGACTTGTTCCGGTTTGGGATTTCTGAAGCGTTGACGTTGTCGCTGTCGTCGCCGTGTGGTACGAAAACTGACACCGGGCTCGGTCGTGGTGGTACTGGTGGAGGTTGACGTGGTGGTGAAGAAATTGCCTCGGAAATTTGACGACGACGATGATGGCGAATTTTGAAACTTGGGGCTCGACGAAATTGGATATTGTCGGGAAGACGTAGACGTCGATACGGCCACGACTTTTTCCGCTATTCTGCCATCGTCTTCTTGCCGCTGCTGGGGTAGTGGTCGTGGTGATGGAGTCCATTTAATTCTGTCCCTCACTCCTAATGATGACGATGATGACGTTGACGACGACGTGGACACGACCGAACTAAGCGAGTCGTCATCCTCCTCCTTGGGGGCAGGGTGGTTCCCTCCAAAATGCGCAATTCCTCCACTGGTCTGCCCTTTTCCAAAGGTGGTGGTTTGAAATGGGGATGGCGACGCCGTGTTGGCTTCTCCGTTGGGGTAGAAAAACTGGAATCGCTCGACATTATGGGACGCATCGCTGACGGGGCCGCCGTGACCACCAGCAGGACTTTGGGAGAAAGCTTTATAAAAAGCCGAAAAAATATCTTCAACGTCCTTCTTCACTTCGGGAGAAGGAGGCGAAGACAACTTTGGCGTCGTGGTGCTGGCTTCCGTCGTCGTCGTGGTCGTAGTTGGTCGTTTGGTCGATACTGGTTGTGGTACTGGAAACTCATAATCCGTAAAAGTAGCATCTGCATAATCTGGGCTATTATTTTCTTGTGACGAGCTGCTACTGCTGCTGCTACTGCTCGTCACGATGACACGGACAATCATTGTTCTCGGAGTGTCCTCATCGCGTGGCTGGTGTCGTTGAGAATCGAAAAATCCTGCCTCCACGATATCGCCATCCTCGGATTTCGTGGGTCGCCCGTCGACTACGCCGTGTGGGCCGGCCAAGGTCGTCACCAAAATGAGGAGCAGGAATTTTCCAGTCTGCAAAATAAAGGAAAAAGAAGATCGCAATTATTAATCATTCTGTCAAAAAAGGAAAAACGCCACATAAAGTGTTGAAAATTGGTCATTTAAATAAATTAGTTGTACAATTAATCACCATTTTCTTTTCAATTTTAAGGTCTCTCTCGCAATAAATCACGGTTTGGTTGAAAACTGCCAATAATTTAATGACTCGTGCAGACAGAGCCGGTTCTCATGACCATTCTTCTCCTAAATCCAGTCCACAAACCAAACCACATGCCCCAAAAGAAAGATGCAAAACCATCCATCACAAACGAATGCCAATAAAATGAAGCGTCGTCGTTCCATACACGACAAATGAAGAATTTGCGATTTATTTGTACTAATACCACGCGAGAGACAAAGGGTGGTGTTTGAGGTGAAAAATAGCAAACGTGGTGAATAGATCCGCCTGCTTGGCATGCTGTGAATTGTGAATGTTTGCTGTTTTTTTGCTCGTGTGCACAATTATATGTACGAATTTCTACCAATTCTTTATATGCATGGTGGAGAGAGATCCACCCAAAATTCCCAATTGTTCTTGTAAATAAATTCGCATTTTGCTCAATTTAACCCGGCCGACCTTGGATCCAAGTGAATTGTTGACTTGACAGATTACTTGGATCAAAAAGATGATGAGAGAAGGATGATGATGACGAGGAATGTATAGACGATTCAACTTTTGCAAAGTTTAATCCTTTACAGTGGCCGCGGAAGCGTGGGGACAGAGGGACAATGTCCCCACGATTATTTCATGTCCCGATCATCTGCCCATGTTATACAAACCCCTCCATTCCCTATCCTACAATGTTAATGTCCCCAGATGTCCCCACAGCTTCCGCGGCCACTGGTCCTTTATTGACTGGATTTCATTATTTCTCGAGTCTCAATTTATCGAAGATCGAAAGGAAGTTTATCTCTGCACCACCAGTTAAACTGGTCCTCACCTCTTCGGTAACAGCTTTTTGTGTAAGAAAGAGGTGATGATCTTCACTTATACAATTAAGTAAGTGATGATGCCGATATTGGTAGGATCATAAATTGAATTAATTAGCATCATGTTCTTCAGGCGACATTTTTACATATTTCTACCTCGTCAACAACAAGATTAAGTAATTGCAGAGACTTGGCAAGAATTAAGTTTTCGCATGGCAAGAGCAGAATATATTTTGCATGCATACCCTTTGAACTAATATTAATCAGAGGGTGGATATGCATTTATTTTCGACTTTTTCATTTGATAACAGTTCAACTTTGTCGATGTGTCTCGTAACTCTAATAGGTCGCAAAAATTTCAAAAAAATTATATTTTATTACATATTTCTAGGTTCTCCGACATGTAAATATTTATAAATATTTCCACTATTATTTGAAAAATACGTAAATCTTTTACATATTTTTTTCAAAAATGAATATATGCTTCATAAATACATCTCCGCCCTCCAGTAATAATGGCAAATACATGTAAATATTCTAGAAAGCTAAAAGCTTCAAGTATACATTTTCATTTTCAACATTTCTGCATAATTACTAAAACAAATTAATATCATTTCAAGGAAGGTGTGAATCTAAAATACGTCAACTATCTAAACTGACAACACTTAATTTTTTCTACTAAAATTCGTTCTGCAACAATTATAAAATCCATCCATTCATACACCCGACCCACCCACGGAGCTCAACATAATAAATAAATATGCATATGGTGGAAAATATTTTACACTCTATTTTTTCCCACTTGTTGACACAGCTTGATTGCTTGGGCCAGGCCAGGCCAGAAAATGCAGCTTATAGCAATTAATCAGTACTACTTAATGAATGAGATGCATACATAACTGCATAAAAATTCTTACACAGTGAGGCAAACAATATAAATAATACGAAAAGAAGTGCACTTTTCCCGTTTGACGACGACAACGACGACGCGACCTTGGCTGGCATTGAATTGAATCTTAACTTATTAATCTTATCTGCGGGGATGATCGCCTCTCTTATTAATCATTGTGCACAGGTGACATGATGACATTGCAATTTTAATGGAAGTCAACACTACCACTGTGATACAGACGTATGTAAAATGTAAATACGTATAAAATTCCTTGTAATGTGGATGCAAGTCAGTGTACATATTTTAGCAGAGTTATTAGTCCTTAATGACTCCTTTGGAGTAAGAAGAACCTGCTAATTATGATATGAATGATGAACAAATAACACAAATTGGTGATCAATGAGGCGATATCGGCGCCACGAATGGTATTGACGACATGTAGTTCAAGAAGAAGAAGAAGAAGAAGAAGAAGTGAAATAAATGTGTCACGTTCCATTTATCGTGGATACGTTTTTGTGCATAAATTTCGTCAAAATTACAATTAAATGCTGAGAATTGACACATGAATTGGCAGGAAATCGAGATAAATCAATCAATTATTATACATACATTCGTTTCCCCAAGTTGTGTAAGTATTTAAATTGTTGGTAAAATATGTGTAGCTTAGACTTATGTGCAATTAACACCTTAAATTAAAAGTAATAAATATTTGTATCCTTTAAAAAATCTAATGTGGGTCAAACTCTAGCTAGAAATAAATACATGAAAAAAAATTTCGAGAAATATTTGAATTTTTTTTCTAAAATTGTAAATTTCCAGGAAATCGAGATGAGTCATTTATTACACATTTCTTAAACTTGCGTATTTAAATTGTTGGAAAATTACACCTGTCTCTTTTACAGCCAATAAATATTTTTATTTTTAAAATTTAATGTGGATCGAACTCTAGCAAAACAAAGCATATTTCCTAAAATATTGGAAAATTCAGTCAGAACATTTTTTCCTACAATTTTAAATTTCCAATATCATAAATTGACCAATGAATCAACACTTGATTAAAACTTCATCCCAATTTTTTTCAAACTTTCCACAATTTTCAAATTCTAAATCATATCAATGTTCCAACCTCATTGTCAGTTGCCAATATTTTACGTCACGCTTCACAAATTGATTCACCACCACCTCCACGTAGAACAGTTAGTTAATTATTTATTAGCAGTTAATTAATCACGCTATATTACTTATTCATTGATTTATTTGCTCACTGCACAAAAAGTGTGAACAATACAGACTAAGCTGCTGCTATGCTATGCTACGTCCCGTACATACATATTTCCTTGAGATGGTCTTAAAAGTGATCACGGCGTGGTAAACAATACCGTTTAATTATTCATCATCATCCTCATCAGTGGAGAAACCGTTTGACAGGTTGACTTCCCTTCCCACAAAATGATTTCTAATAACTAATAACACTGCAATGTGTACCCATTCACGGACAAATTCTTACCATTATTGCTCGTGGTGTAATGTCAAGGTGAGTTCTTAACATGAATAATGGATATTGCGCAAAATTAATAAGAAATAATTGCAATTTTCCATCTCAGAATTTAAAATCCAATCCAATCATTCCATAGATCTTATCATGGATAAGATGGTATCAAAATCAATAAATATTTTAGCAATCAATAACTGTGGGAGCCAAATCTGCACCCTTGGAAAGTGAAGAATAAATGCGGAAAGTGGAGTAAAACCATTACGACGAGTGGAGTATCAGATGGCGGATATCGATCAATCCATTCTTCAGTCTGTTGTAAAAGGCTTAAATTTGATACAATTATGACCAGAAGGTGAAACACGTCCTGTTTAAACACCTTCCAATCCACACCACGCCACGTTGCAAATATTGTGCAAAATGTTACCATTTCTTTTATCATCATGTGATGACTTATCAGAATGAAATCTATCCAAGAAGAAATTCCCTTCAAAGGTCACTTGCCGCCTAATTGTGTCTAATTCTATTTACTTTGCTTTGCTTTGCTACCTGTCACTGTCTCCTGCACCCATCGGATTATTTTGCCACGTATTGTAACGTAAATAGTGGATGGATGGATGGAATGATTAATGAGTTCATCCATTCAGTCCGGCCAGAAAATTCAATGCTGGCTGAGACAATTAGGAACAATCAAATACCAAAAAATTTGATTGATTGCCTCTTTTGTGTTTACATGAATCTATCCGCTATTCAGAGTTTCCAGCTTGACATGGATGCAAAAATCAGACCCAAATCAAATCAAATCATGGCAAATATATGTATCTGACAAAATCAAATCTAGATAAAGGACCAGACCACGACACGTGAGTCAGTAGACAGAACAAATAATGCAGATTTTTGATTGAAAATAATAATAGTAGAAAGAATAATGATATGTATTTGTGGATACAAAGGTGGATGAAAAATTCAGGAAGAAATATTTATAAGTTGGGTGGGGTAGTCAGTCACTGAATTGTAGACGCAGACGTGTGACATTATCGACAACTAGATAAATATTATTGGCGTCCTTAAGTCCTAATTTTGGTGGAATGTGAGCTAAATATTTTGTGCGAAAACAAAAAAAAAATATACCGGAAATAAGTACTTATAATGGAGGTCTCCCAACGTATGTGCACAGATTTTGACAAAATTAGTGTCAATCGATCACAAATTTATTTCATTAATATGCAATTTGCAGTAGACCCGAAGACGAGAAAATGCACAGTATGTAAGTTTGGAAAATGAAAAATTTGTCGACTTTTAGGGTCCGTTTTCTCCTCTTTAGATGCAAATATCTCTGCCAAACCTGCACATTAAGAGATCGTGTTGTTTTCAAATTTCATATTAATTAAATTTGTGATCGATTGGCACTAGACTGCTCAAAATATGAGAGTATACGCTGGGAGACCTCCATTGTCAAGCTGAAATTAATCAGAACGGGAAAAATGGGACGTCATAAACTCACTTGCAAATCGTCGCAATTATTTATTTACATGAAAACTGAAGGTTTTCCCATTAGCATAAATTTCCTCTATTTTTTCCCCCAACTTTTTGCCCTCCTGGACATGTATCGTTTGAATAATAATTATGTTATTAATTTTCTCGATGATTCTGAATTATAGGTCAAATAATTAAGTGGACGCCGCCGTAAGGGTAAAAATGATTAAGATATCGATTCGATTATCGATAAGGGTTTATAAAGATGGTGCATGAGCATGAGCATCCATCGTTAATAAATAGCTGGAGAGAAGAAAAAAACACAAGCTCAGCCCTGTACAAACACATCATCGTTCTTATCTCATTTCGCGATCGCCATCCATTTTCGCTATTGATTCGCTTCTAACTCTCAATTGTTATGTTATTGTTACGCGTAAAAGTTTGCATATGCATAAATTATTATTTCGCTCCCTGCCTACCATCGAATCGATCTCTCGTGATTTATGACTGTAACGAGTAAACTGTGCATGCAGCAAACGCCCACCTCATCACAATTAAATCCCAAATTCCATTGTATTCATGCCAAAAAGACAAATGCTCTGGACAAATTATTACAAGGAGCAAACAGATAAAAAGAGGGGAAAAAATCTTTGCAAAATTACAAGTCAAGTGTTCTACTGTAAGAAATATTTTAACCAAATCCGGTAGTAGTGAGTGAGCAGACTGGCAAAAAATGCGATATATGGAACGATCTATCAAGTCTGTAATTATGGAGATATTTGGAGCACAGGAATTATTGCGACTTACCAAATTGAGACGATTTGGGGTGTGGAATCGCTTCTTTTTCGTGTCCATTTTTGGTGGGGGTGTGCAAATATCGATAAAAATGTTGGCTAAAAGTTTTCCACCCAAATTCAGAGATTTTCACGGCTATGTAAGTTACTGATCTAAATCCACGTATGCCACGCTTGAGCAGTACTGCACATCCTGAAGAAGAAGACACGAGTAGTCTCACGTTGTCGTCTCCCAAAATTCATGACGCTTTGTGTCAGCCAGCGTGACGCAACAAAGTAACAATGTTTTTATTTATGTATGTCCAGTAGGAAAAAAATCCGGATGTTTCTCCGCTTCTAATTTTAACGACGTCAATACTGGGAATAAATCAATCAATAAATGCGATCACTGCGTTCTCTGAGTCACTGATTCAAGTACCACCACCACTCCTCACCCGCGGCGTCCAGGAGGTACTGAATCAATGGGGGCCTTGTCTTTTATTCCCAATTATCACCCCTCCCGCTGACTCCAAGAAGAATTAGAAAAATCTAAATACGTACGTAATTTTATGAGACCTGACTTGTGTGAGGAAAGGTCAGTCAGTGACGTGACGTGGTTGGACTTCGAATGGACCACTGCAACAGATTGGTCCAAGAACTTGAACTTGGTCTTTAGTCATACATTCGTCCAACTCTGCATACATACTTCGATACTATTGAGTAATGGCTGAGGTATGGCTTAACATGGATTGAATGATACTTTAGTCTCGCATTCTTTACGTTCTTTCAAACTTTTACTTTGCACATGTTGCATAGTTAGAAGTTAGAACCCAACCATCGCACATACCTGGACGGTGATGCTATGTATGTACTTTAGTTTTAGTTTGCTTACTTACTTAACTTCAGTCAGTCAGGTAAGTAACGCAGGTAGATGGAAGAGAGTAAGGAATACATAGATAAATATGTGATGGATATAGACGTTGCTAACCACCCATCATCATTTGATACGCGATGATGCGATCCTACTCTTCTTCTTCTCCTGCTTGATTATGGGATTGGATTTTTGTCTACAAATTATTTACCTGCTTTTTCTTCTTCCCAGCTCTCGTTTTCCTTAATGTGTTGTATCCCGTGTTCAATATGCAATTACCTGTGTGGATATGTGGTGTGGTGTTATGTGGAATGTGGTGATGATGAGACGACGGGAATAAAAATTATACCGAAGGAATTTCACCCACAGTAATAAAGTAAGCATGTCATTACGTAGGAACACACGGTACATATTTTTTACAGGTACGTGCATATGTACCTCCTCACCTTTACGGGAAATGTGTTAAAACTTCAATATTTGTTCGAGCCGGGGAAAAGATCCGGTTCAAAGAAGTAAGTAATAAGTTTGCACTTCGTTTGGAATTTCCGCATATTTTTAGCAACATAATCGTCACGTGGGGACTTGTTGGGGGTGAAAAGGCTGTAAAATTGTGTATGATTTTGCACTTTGTACACAATTTCCGCATATTTTTAGCAACATAATTGTCAACTTTAGTGTGAAAACGGGATAAAATTGTGTCTAATTTTGCTTACACAGTTGCATTTCTGTGTATCTAGTACCTACACACGATTACACAAATACATACGTACATGCAGCCCGTGTTGGTTGATTGTTGCGCATAAAATGCGGTGGTCTTCTGTGTGGCTGGTGATCTGTTCCGTCTGTGGTTTTGTATGACATTCCATTCTCACCAAAGTATTTCCATTCATTCATTCGTTTTCATTCGTTCGTTATCCTTCACGAAAATGGTGTGATTGTTTGCACACTAAATTCCTCGGGAGAAAAAGGTTTAAAAGCTTCTCCTCTGCTGAATAAACCGTTTCAAATTTGGTGGAGAATCTCACTAAAATTTTATAACTGCTAATTTTCCAATTCGCTCCAGACGAGAATGAATGGGAAGAAGAACAAGGACGCGCATTCCTGAGGACGTCGTACATATTTATTTGGTTGGTTTTCTTGATGGCACCGTCCTCAACGGATGCATTCTTCAATTCTTCATATTACACCCAGGAGAGAGAGAGACGACACTTTACTTTAATACCGGGCCGACAAAAGTGTGGTATGCGCCAACAATGGGAAACTATGTAGACGAGAGAGACGCCAATGGATGGAAAGGAGGAAAGAAAGAAAGGTTCTCAACAGAGCTGATTCTTCTTTTGCCAGGTTAATAATACGTGTTATAGATAAGTACAAGCCGACAAGAACAGCGATAAAACAGAGGAGAGGAAAGTTGATAAAAAAATTGGCTCAAATCCTATAAAAATCTGGATTTTATTACGGAATGCAGGAGAAATTCTTTACTTTAATGGCAACTTGGTAAAAAGTGGGAACGAATTTGTTCGAAATGAAAGAAACTTTTAAAATTTGCATGATATTTATGTGCTGGCCAAAAGACTCATCTAATCTGTACCGCATTATGCGAAATACATTTTTGCAAACTTTTTCAAATTGGTGTTGAATTATATCAGAACGTGTAATTAAAAACCTATCAGTACAGCTTTGCTTAGCCCGAACCAGGTTTAGTAAACCCATGTTTCTCAGTAGTTTTCTATAAAATTACGTGCTACTATTTTACACTAATTTTTGCATTAACTTGCATCAATCTTTCGTACTACTAGGCTCCAAATTCTAAAAATATTTACTATCCATTGCTCTTGACTACTTTCGAGTGGGGGTCGCCTCTACAGCCCATACACCATATGGTTAATTTGTGTTCATATTTAACTTCGTATTATTTCATGAGAAAGCAGTAAGGATCTCTGGTCCAAATTTCAGCTTTCTATGTTAATTTCTAAAAATCGATATGGGTCACCCCATAGGGTCGCTCTAGATTAAAATTATACCAATTTCATATCATATTCTTGCATTAAGACCCATAAGCAACCTCTCCACCAAATTTCAGCTTGATATGACGATTTTGAAAAATCAGTATGGGTCACCCCCTAGGGTCCCTCAAGATGAAAATTTTTCCAACTTTAACTCATTTTTATCTATTAGGAGTCATTAGCAACCTCTGTGCCAAATTTCAGCTTTCTACGACAATTTTGAAATTTTGGTGCATAATACCCCACCCACTCCGATGACCCCCACCGGTCCAAAACTTTTCTGATCGAACCCATCTTCGAACTCGGTCGTTGCATTGCCCAGATACATGTCTGTACCAAATTTGGTCCAAATCGGTCAACTCGTTCGAGAGTTATCGAAAGACAGACGGACGGACAGACGGACGGACATGACGATTACATAAGCCCTGGTTCGGGCTAATAATTCAATTTTCTGTATCCGTTGATTAATAGATACACGAAGGAAACACGGGAGAAATTCCTTACTTTAAGGGCAAAATTATTGCAAATAGATTGCTTAAAATTTGCAAACTTTTACTATTTGCATGATATCCATAAGTGTCGACAGCGAATCTGTAGCGTAATTTGCGAATTAAAATTTTCATTTTTTTCTAAATCGGTGTTGAATATATCAAAACATTTTATTAATAATTCAAGTTTTTTAAGTATTCGTTAATAAGAAGGAAACACGGGAGAAATTCATCACATTAACGGCAACTCTATAATTATTTAAAAAAAATAGCATGAATTTGTAAAGTTGCGGAGACATGAGTAGGACAGTGTTAAATCTCATTTTAGTTTAGCATAGAGTAAGAATTTGAGCTTCGTTTCAGAATGAGAGTGCAAAGAGTTTTGGTGTGTGCGTGAGAGAGAGAAGGCATGGCCGTGTGTAATTATTCTAATCTCTTCTCAATTTAATAAATAGTTTAATTAATTTTCGTGATTAGTGGTCACTATTAAATGATAAGTCAGCCGATTCATGTTATATATTTGTTGGTGGAATTGGGACAATAAAATCAGTTTAAAGTGAGCTAGTCATCGAGTCTTGTGTCACTTCATATAACGACAGGATAAGCCAATTTTCCGAGACGGGTCCCAACGGGTAGTTGGATAAATCGCGGTCTCAACAGACAGATCTGTAGCACAATATGCAAAATGGAATTTTTGCAATTTTTCCAAATAGGTGTCGAATTATATCATAAGATTAAATCAATAATTCAATTTTCTTTAGAAATACATGAATAGCTACACAAAAAAGTGACGCCTCATTCTTGGACATCCGAAATGACCAGATACATGACTTATGTAATTCGAATGAATGATCCCACCTTGAGTTTGGCGTGGCACGAGCAAGCGAAGCACCCTTTGCACCAAAAGAACATGAGAACCTGGCTGTAAGTAAGTAACCGTCGGTGATTTGGATTAGCGTTGGAGCAGAGAGGGCCGTGTAATAAATGATGATGGGAACGGAATGTGCCAGGACATCCGCCTCGTGACTTTTCCCATGTGAAAATCCGTTTGAGGTCCAAGATTTTTGGGAATCTTTGCATTCCTCGCATTCCTCTTTTTTTATTTACCCACTCACCGCAAGCAATCCGTGTGTGTGTACGTAATAAAGGTGATAAAGGCATTTTCTTGTGTTGTATGGAATTTCATCGAATCGCTTCCAGCTCGTGTCCACCATTAATCACCTCCATCCTCGTTAACCCTTCGTCACCACCTTCTTCAAGGCAGCATAAGGTACTTATTGTGATCGTTTTGTCCGTCCGTAAGCAGGATATCTCCAAAACGCCTCAAGATAATCAAATGGCGTTTTCGCCAATGGCAATGAATGGCAATGAGTAATTATTTAAAATGCGAAGGAGTTACACATAAATTTAAATCACATTTATTAAGTAGCGCAAGCTACTTTATGTGATCGTTTTGTCCGTCCGTCTGTGGACAGCGTATTTCCGGAACGCCTCAACATGATAAAACGCCATTTTCGCCACTGTGCCTCAAATTTTCAGTTTCGGTCGAGTCCAATGTCAATCGTTTCATGCGGACCACACCCCAAAGCGCCAGGGGGTCTGATCCAAAATTAAATTTAACCTTAATTTATTTCTATATGCAGTGTCATTTTATAGGAAATTTCACCACGAATCAACGCCGCCAATATTTTTGACCTCGGAGCAGCCCATGGCCGTTTGCCCTCCCTTCCGCCAGTTTATTATATGCGTTGTGGAGTTTATTTTCACAGCGAGCACATTCCACCCAAACACTTTAAAGTTTAAAGGGATCATCCCAAAAATGTGGCATAATCACGATCTTCCGTCACTCATCGAAATATATGTGGGAAACCACATCAAGGAAAAAATTATCGAGAAATGTATGTGCATAGTGTGACCATAACAAGGTAGCGTAATTATGGGGATGATGATTCGTGGTTTCGTTTGGTTGCTGAATATTGGTTAATCCAATGAAATATTGGGCAATCGAGGTGATTTATGTACATACATATTTACATAAATATGTCGAAGAGTTGGTGGGTACGGGTTGTTTTTTTTGTATAATTTGCTAAAATGCTCTCTTTATGTCGATTCGACATTGTCGAATGACCGTTAGGAAATTAAATAATATCCTGCTTGTGTATAACACTGTTAAAAATCTGGTAGACTGTAACTCGATTGGTAGTAGTTTGTTTCAGAGTGGTAAGGTTTTTACTACCACAGCCTTGTTAAACGGTAATGCCCGTTATTAACGTTCCGGTAGAGTTGCATATATATGCACTCCGGTTAGTAATGAATGGTACAATGCTCGTGTTCTAAGAATGTATGTCGTGGGTTAGATTTGTGCAAATGTGCAAACGCGTTTGCCGGGAACGGGGGAAAGGACTTTTTCGGAAAATTTGAAAATTTCCTGAAATTTTCGAGTATTTTTATGGTCCATACCGTGCCGGTAGAGTCGCATACATAGATATACTCTCGTCAGTAATGATTTAATACCAGTTTTCTATAATAGTGAAGAGAGCTAGAATTTCATTCTCAGAAAATTTAATCATTTCACATTTCTTCTTCTTCAATTTTTCTCAGATTCATAAATTCGTAAAAACTTTTGGGTGCAATTTAGAAAAAAATAAAAGTTGAAATTTCAGCTCCGAAAGAAAAAGATCTGAGACATTACTATTAACTAGTAAATATGAGTGGAGAAGAAGTTAAAGGTGTCAAAACTTGTCAAAACTAAATTATTAATATATCCTTATTTTCTCCTCGTTACACGGGCAAAATCTCAAATTTACGGAGGATCATTATAATTACTGATCTTCGTCTTGGAATGAGTGTTGATCTGGTCAAAATGATTCATCAGTCGCAGGGCTCAAGTATCTTTATAAGCAGAATACGTAATATAAATTTGGGTAAAGTGGATTGACAAAATGCGTACAAACTGTCTCAAATTATGTAGGTAAAATTTGCAACTTGTCATCCAATTTAACTAATTGATTATGCGTCAACACCAAGAAACAAAACCTGAATCAAATATGTGCTTATCGTATTGTGTCGTAATTGTCATAAATATTCTTTCTGATAAAATAAACTCTAAAAATTGCAACTATTTTATCGCCAATTTCTCACATTAGATTTCTTCAAAAAGTTAATCTAAAAAAATCTCTTCATACATTTAATTACGGCAACACTTTTGTTCCCCACACTTGTCAATTGCCCGATCTCATGACAAGAAGAAACATTTTCGTCAATGATTTCTCGATTTTTTTGCGACTTCAAAAAATTACCCATGTAATAAATACGAACAATGACTCAATCTCACCTACCTCACCAACTTTCTACGGGAAACGAGAAGGGACAAATAGCTACCCGCATACTTATTTAAAGGGTTCTCTCTCCTTCACATGCACTCAAACCACTACTTAAAATCGAAGTGAAGTGCACATGGCAATGAGTGAAATGAAATCTTTGAGCGATGGGAATTCGAATTTAAACTTGAACAGTGTCTGCCCACTTGTCTCGCTAATAATGGGAAAATTGTCAACTTTGCTTCTTTATTGTTTGTCATTTTATTCAAGCCCCCGGTTGTGGGAAACACTTAACAAGTTGATGTCGAGGTTTGCAACAAAACAAACATATCTTTCACTCTTTTATAAGGAGAACATTATTATTTATTCGCATTTTTAATCGTGTAACTTATTTCTGCTATATAAATAAATACATATATAAACTATTCAATTATACTTATTTACAGTTGGACGCGTCCATTAAATGACGTCAAATCCATGGCATGATTTTTTCTCCTTGTTGAATCAACACGGGATTGATTTGATTTTTCTCAAGTGGTGGAATTTCAGTTCGAAACAAAAACGTAAAGAATTAGCATTACACGGTTTAAAACGATTTGTCCCAACAATGAAAAAGTCCTGCTCATTAATTCAATTATGGTTTTATACAATAAAAATACTCGAAATTGGCCCCTCTTCCAACCCCTTGAGAACTATCGTGCATGGAAATTTACAATGAAAAAGTAACAAGTTTTAAGTAATATGAGTGGATACAATATTTTTTACGTGTATTTTGTATTTACAAAGTAATACTGGATTTCGGTAAGTTTTTTGGCTGTCAACTTTCCCACAGGGTGACAAGTGTATGTAATAAGACAATATTAAGGCACTAAAATTATGCTTAATTAAACAGTTAGCAAATTTACGTTTCTACTTAACTTTCTTTTTTTCGTAAAGTTGGTAAAAATTTCCGGAAACAATGGAAAAAATTTTCAGAGGACACTCAACAGTGATTTCCGGAAATTTTGACCCAACTCAAGTTACGGAAATTTTAAAAACGCTTTTGGTAAACTGCTTGTGTACTTGTAGATATAAAATTTAAATATTTTACAAAAAATAGCTCAGCCCCCTCACGAGCCAGATTTGTACATATCACAGATAAGTTTTCCCAGCGGGGTGGATCCGATCGTCGTGGCGAAAAAGAGGTCTTGAATCGTTGACGGGGAAATGGACTTGAGGAGTGGGAGGAGCAGGAGGAGCCTCCCAAAGCGGAGGGGTTGCGACGGATAAGCCGCCCCGATATATTTGCTTAACGTGAGTTGAGCCTGGTCCTGGAGGGCTTCGATGCTTTTGACATCTTTCAAGTACTTCTTGACCTCTCCGGATCCACTCTGGAAGAGAATTATGGCCCGCAAACAGGCAAATTCGGTCGGATCTACGTTCATCTCGCGAAACTTGTCGATTGCTTCCATGCATGATTTCAACTCTTGGAGAACGACGATGTTATCGGAGGAGGAGGAGGAAGGTTTTCCTCGGCGGCGTGTGTGCAGTTTTCTACGTTTGGGACTGTCCTGACTTAAATCGTGGATGTCTTGGTCCATGTCTTCATCTGTGGGAAAGCATAATCTTTTTTAGTCAAGATTCGTGACAATGTATTTACTGATGCAATGGAGGTCTCCCAGCGTGTACTCTCAGATTTTGACCAATTGTCAATCGATTACAAATTTATTTAATATGAAATTTGCAAAATACATGATCCCCAGTGATCGCTTTTTGCAGAGATATTTGCATCCGAAGTGGGGAAAACGCGCCCTAAAGTTAACAAATGTTACAATTTCCAAATTTTCTCCTCTTCGGATGCAAATATCTCTGCAAAACGTGATCATTGGAGGTCATGTCTTTTGCAAATGTCAAATTAATTAAATTTGCGATCGATTGATACTAATTTGCTCAAAATCTGTGAGCATACGCTGGGAGACTTCCATGCATTGTTAGTAAAATGATTCCTTTTACCTGAACCAGACCCAGAATTCGATCCTGACGATAAGCTCATACCATCGGTAGCGTTGTTACCGCCCTGTACCAAGTTGACCCCCAATTGGATCGGGAGACCGAATTGGGCCGCACCCAGGACGAAAAATTCTCGCCAGGATTCCTCCAAAAGTTTGAGTTGGTCTTGGAGTGGGAGGGAGACGAAGGCCGGGACCGTTTTTGCCCAGCGGACATTCATGAAGAGGAGGCGCGCCGCAGTTTCGCAGAGAGTGTCGACACCACCACCGCCTCCGCCGGGCATGAGGCTCATCCGGTTCATGGTGTTCATCATGGACAAGGCGTTGTTGGGGTTTCCTCCGGAGGGGGAAAGTTCCAACGTGGCGGCGGCATGATGAAGGAGTTGACTTTGTGAGGTTGGGGGTGGTGGGGGAGACATGTGACCGTTGTGCGGATGCAGGATCTCGGGCCAGTTGTACTGAAATTTAATAAATGAAGGATTTAAATTTCTGAAGATTCAAAATAGTCTACAAATTTCCATGTCACGTTAATCTCATCGTCTTTTTTATATGATTGAGAGACAAAGAATTGGTCCATTGGGGACACAGAAATTACAAAATTTGGAATTTACTTAATAAGCGTTCCGGCCTCATAACACAACGACTCTAATAAAACTTTCTAATTGATCGACTTGATTTTAGAAATTAATTTTCAATATTTTCAAAATTTCGATTTCCCTTAAAATTTGGACTTTCCATTTCCATCCTTTAATTCGTTAGGTATATAATTTCCATTCAATTTTTCCGAAAATTTTGACTTACGAATTATAAAAATTTAGATTTCCCATTTCCATCTTAATAACTCGTTACATATATAATTTGCACTGTATTTTCCCTAAGATTTTAAAGTCCCTCGATCCCTTGAATTCTCACCTTGTTGAGCTGCGGCATGGCAAAGAATGGAGGTCTCATCATGAGCATTTTATTCAGCGGATTATCCATCATCACCGGACGCTGGGCAGGATGACCCCCACCATTCATCATGTTCATAACGAGGTCAAGCGGAAGTGGGAGTGGATGAACGGACGACGGCATCATTCCTCCTCCCAAACCGTGCGGAAATCGGATCCCATTTCCAGCCTCAAGTTGCATGAGGTGAACCTTATCCGCAAAAGAAAACGGGTCTCGTATCACACGACCATTAACGTTGTTGTCCGCATGGTTTGGATTATTATTGTTATTGGACGACGTTGTGGACGATGATGAAGAAGGATTTCCACGCGTTTTATTATTATGCGATCGGGTCGAATTATTCGTGCCTGTTCGAGCTGATGGAGGAGGAGGTGGTGGTGGTGGGGGCGTTGGGGTTGGTGTGTCAGGTTGTTGCGGGGACATGGAAAGGCGACCCTGAAAAGATACGTACATAAATTAATTTCTGGACAATTTTGCCTTTACGTACGACTCATCATAAAAATCAGCACGTTTTTAATCGTTTCTCGGCTCTGGGAATTTATTTAAAAAATTCTGGACAATAAATTTTTAGAGCAGGTCATCCCCAATTTTAAAAAAATGTGCACTCCAGATTTTGACACTTTGAAGGAGGAGATCTCAAGTTTAAGAAGCCTTCAGAAAAATTGGAGTAACTCATCAAACTGGTTTAAAAACTCAGTCATTCCACTAATAAATTTATTGACTACAAATTTGTCGCCCAGAATTTTAAAATAAATTCCCAAACCCGAGAAATGATTAAAAACGTGCTGATTTTGACGGTTTTGATGATGAGTCATCAAGTCCTACGTTAATAATTTGCGTACCTGAGACGGTGACCGCTCCTTCTTCCCGGAGGAGGGTGTCGTCGTCTTCGGCGACGCGAACCCCAGAAGACTCAGGGGATGTCGAAAAGCAGGTCCATTATTGTGATTGTTAGAAGTGGACCCTGCCGACGAGATGAGACTGTTGATCGAGTATGGAGAAGGTGATCCTTGAGACGAAGACGTAGTCGAGGCTGGACTGGTAGAAGGTTCCATCGCGATCTGGCCCGAGCTACCAATCCCTTCCTTGAAATAGAGAGACATTTGACGACGAAGGGTGGAGTTACGAGGACCCCGCTCATGCTGAACGGCTATAAAGTAAAAGAAGTCATCAGTCAACAAAAGTCACCCGAGCAGCCCTTTATTAAGCCAATTTATTTAGTAATAAATCCATAAATTACATTTCGTCTTCTTACCATCCTTATTCATCCCGGCTTCCACGCACTTCTTCAGCCGGCAAGCTCTGCACTGATTGCGATGCGTTTTATCCACGGGACAAGCTCCCTCCGATTTATTTCTGCAAACGTACTGCCGATTCCGTCGGATTGATCGCTGTTAAGAAAAAGTAAGAAGGACCAAAAGTTAGACAGGTCGTCAAATTCTCTTTGTTCAAATTCCCACAAAAATTAAGCAGTGGGCTGAATGAAAATTAAATAAAACAACAAAAACTTGACCTTTTTGCCCTTGTTTTTGTTTTTCTCAATGAAAAATGAGTGACAGGTAAGGAAAAAAATGTAAAAGTCAAGCTGGATCAAAATCACATGTCGGAAGAAATAAGAGCGAAATGCCAAGCGTTCTTAAAACTAAAAGGGATTAGAGTGATAGCGAAATGAAATGGGAGTAAGTAAAAGGGTCTCTGAGAAAATGGTCATGTTTTACTCTTCTCCTTCTTCTTGTCCGCTTCATTAAGCGTAATAATTACATGACAAAAAGGTCGTGAGGAGAGATTGTGGAAAGAGATAGTAAAACGACGCACCTTGAAGAAGCCGGCACACCCATCGCAAGCATAAATCCCGTAATGTTTCCCACTCGAATGGTCTTGACACACTTTGCACGGAATGTCATACAGGATTCTATCTGAAATTTCAAATTTTCAAATTAGTCATGATACGTAGCGACTTTTTAAGGCAATTTTAATTTTAAAAAATTGGACACGCGTTTTGATACAGATTAAGATAACGTGTATCAAGTCGTCAATAGACCTTTTTTTTGTCAATTCAGGAGCTTAAATTTCACGAGAAAAAATGCATCCTTATCAAACTTGTACTATGATTTGACACACTTTAAACGGAATGTCGTACAAGAGTCGGTATGAAATCGAGGTTCAAAATTTGTAATTAATTAAATAACGATGATTTTTAATTAATTTTAATTTTACAAATTGGACACGCGTTTTGATACAGATTACGATATATCAGCTCAATAGACCTTTTTCTAGAACGTATTAAATTGAGGAAACTCACACGAGAAAAAAATGCACATCTTTATCAAACTTATATTTACTATGATTTATCACACCTCGAATTTCTTTGTTGTCCATACAAACATCTATTAATAATCATGCTTACATACATAGAAATAGTAAAGGGGACAACAAAACGCTTCCTCCCTTTCCCATTATTATTGGCATATCTGCAGTGAAAGGGCAAGTAAGCAAGAAGTGTCGTCTTCTGGCAGCAGTTAGACCGACTTCCGACATCCGACCCTAATATTAAGTGTGTCCCGAGAACAAAGACATTTCCGGTGCTTTCTTCATATTCAAACCAAGGTGAACTGAACAGCCCAAATAATTGGAGGTGTTCATATCACGTCAAAAATGAGCAGTGGGACAGGTCAAATATATGAAAACGGTGCATAAAATAAAAACAATACGCCACGAAAAAAGTGATTTAGTGATTTCCAACCTGAAATAGCGTGTCATTCCGTCTCATCCGAAATGATATAAATTACCCTACTTCCGGAAGTAAACTCATCCGATTAGCCCAACCCCATGGCACGAAAGAGAGGGTGAGAGGGGGTCATGTGATGAGTAAGTAAGGTGATCAACCAGGTAACCGAAATCCGATTCGGGCATCATCATCAGCATCACGCAATAACAAGGGCGGAAGTATCATCACTCTACGAGTCTGGTCTACTCCCCGGGTAGACATTATTCGTGACCATTGATTAGTCATTTCTGACCAGAAAGTGAAACCGTGAGATCAATATGTTACAAAGTTGGAGAGAGATTATAAAACCTGGAAAACAGGGATTGAAAATCGGGAGAGAGATCATGTTCCGGTATTTGGACGACAGTTGGTATTCTAATTTGGGAATAATCCATGGGAATGGACTCGGTTTTAAAATCTGTACTTGCTTGATGTGATGGAGGGAGGGGTGGTTTGGTGCGATATTGAATTTTATGCATCCCAAGATGAGGTGATGACATGGGAAAAAACGGCAGATGAGCTAATTAAACATAAATGTGTATCACGCTATTATTACCGAACTAATACATATGTACTTATGATTAGTAAAATGCAGCCTTAAATATTTAGAAAATTTACCCGAAGTCGGGTTGTATGATATCACACCAATTGTTTCTTAATCGATTCGCCTTATAATTTCACTATGAAAAATTGAATTTCAACTTTCTCCAACTGATTTGTTAAACCTATAAATTCCTGAAATGTGCACAATATGGAATTCATGCCAAATTTCAACTTTCTCTCACTATTTTCTTCAAACACTAATTTTAATTTTACAAATTGGACACGCGTTTTGATACAAATTAAGATTATGTATCAGGAGAACTTTTTTCGTCAATTCAGGAACTTATTAAATTGGGGAAACTCTCTCGAGACAAAATGTACATCTTTATCAATCAAACTTGTACTCTGATTTATTGCTCCACTACCACTCCAGCGATAATTTTCCCATTATGAAATTATGTTCTTAAATATAATTCTGTATAGATAATAAATCACTTCTTGAACAAATAAAATTTCTACATTTTTCGCATTTCTACCTAAATTAGATAATTCAAAAGTATGATTTTACTTACTTGAGCCTTGCGACTGTTGATTCATTTTGGCCAGATCAACTCCCATTCCAAGACGAAGATCCATGATCATAATGATCCTCCGTAAATTTGAGATTTTGTCCGTGTAACGAGCAGAAAATACTGATATAATTTTATCTTTCGACTATTTTCGACGCCTTAAACTTTATTTCCACTCATATCTACTTCTTAATTACAATTTTTCAGATACCATTGGCGCAACTGTGAACTTTCACACTTTTACTCTTTTTATCAAAATCCCAAGTTTTTATGAATTTCTTTCTTAAAAAATTACAAAATTTTCCGTCGCCTTAAAAAAGTGACGAGTAACAGCTTGTCCTGTTTTCACCCACCCAGTGGCATTAAGCAACTGATGAGTTTTTAATCCGAGGCTTGATTTTTGACAGGATTTTCCAAAGGATTAGCAACTACGCTATTTGTCCCCCATTATTCTGCTTGCCCAGTTCAATGCTGCATAGTCCTCGTCGTTCATGATGATTTGTATGGAATATTGTGACCCTTGGCTTTAGGGCTTTAGGACTCGTTTAGCAGCTGCCTCTGCCGAGACGAGGCGAGGAAGGGTCCCACTCATGAAGGGACGGACTTTCCAGAGTGAAGTCCTCCTTCGCCAGTACTGGCTGCATGTTCAAACGACCTAAAAATGGCCCACCCTCCAATTTGTATGCAATCAGAGAGAGTAATAAATCTCTTCCCTCGACTCACGGGAGGATTTCTACTCACCACTTAATAAATAAAACCAGATTTTTAACGTCGGAAAACAAGTAAGAAATGATAAATATGAGGGATGACGATAATATGTGGTGACGATATTGGGCAGGAAGTTGACTAATTAGTGGACATTAATCATCTAAAAGGTGTGATGAGTGATGAGGTGAGGATTACAAATCTTAAGAAATAACCAGTTTAGCATATTAATCCTACATCACATATTTACAAATCCAACGAATAGAGGAGTTTCTAAATAAACCTTGGATTTGTGTATAAGTTAAGTTCGCAATTATAAATTATGATAATGGCGTTAAATCTGTAAATAAAACCAGAAAATCAAAGAATATCTAATTCCTATTAAATTTCTTGCTATATTTTTGTAATTTAGTCGACTCTTATTTTTTGCATGGTGTAGGATACAGATGAGATAACACGTTTGCAGTGCCTTTGTGTTGTGCTTTGCTTTTACGTGTTCATCTGTCCTGTCCTGTCCCCCTCGTGATGAGACTTATTATTTGACAGGAGGTACGATTTAAGGGTGCATTTGATTTTTTGTCACGTTTGTAACCTCGTTCGTTTCGTTCGACGGTTACACTAAAGTAAATAAATAATCGAAATCAAAACATTTCTCGGTGTAATGTAAATAGTTTTCCTTTCCCGAAAAATTCCGTAGTTCTTCGGTCTTCATAAAGTGAAAGAATTGCGACAACGCAAAGAATTTCAATCCATGATGAACAGTCAATATTCTTTACGGCAGAGTTGGCATTGAATTTTTTTCAGAATAGATGTCATCTCTCATCTAATGTCATCTCTCAATTTGTAAACTATTGATCCTCCGCTATACTTTAGGAATCGAAAAATGTCGAAAAATGCTTTTGTGTCGCTCTTTGACTGCCCGTTTTCATGAGAAGAGACATTCGTCTGTGCGGGGATGGAATGAATGTAATATTACACAAAGTTCTGGCAGCCCTTCAAATAATAATAAGTACATATCAAAATATGACATTCTTTCTTTTAGCCAGGAGAGAATTTAGCATTGTTAGCTCGATGTCATCTCAATTTTCACTCTCCTCCTGGCCTGGCCTCCTCTTCTTTGTACGTAGCTTGACAACAATACTGGGTGACGGATGGACAGAGGGAGAGATGACAAAATGGTCTCTTCGGAACAAAGGATGGTTAAGGGTGCAGGCAAAGCAACTCTGCCCTAAAATCGGGCTTTTTGACGGGAAAAGAGCAAAAGTGAGTGAATTTACCAAGGTAAATACGAAGTAAATGTCATTTGCGCTTTGAACTCGGTCAAGTTTCTGCTGCTGCTGATCTTTGTGACAATAAATAAATTGTTGATGTTGACAATGGCGTTCGGTTAAATAATACACTCTCCACTGCGGAAAGTGCACAATTACTGCGGGGCTGCTGTTACATACTGTATTTGTGTATGTAGGGTCAAGTTAGAAAAGGAAATCTGTCACATATTTGTCGTCGAGATGAAAGCAAACTTGCGAACATTCCTCAGAGACGAAAAGTTATTAAGAGTATATTATCCTTCGTCCCCTCCTTCTAGGCGACACAACAACTTGTTCAAAATCATTGTTGCTGATATTTTGACAAATTTCATTGCATTTTTTAAAATTTTTTTTATGAAATGAGTACAAATGCCATGGGTTAGTTTAGTAATTCTGTAATAAGTATAATCTGTCTCTAAAGATATTGTTTTCAGGATTTTTTTTAGTATTTTGGCATCTACAAAATCTTTTGTTTTACCCTCTCCACATAGACCTCAAAAATTGCAAGAGTTTGGGACCAAAACCAAAAAGTCTGGAAAATATTAATCTTTTAAATTGTTATAAGGTTATTTATGGTTTGTTTTGTGATAAGGTTTTGTGAATTTACTTTTAAGTAATTTTCCCCAATTTTGTACAGATCCTTCTTATCGTTTCATGATCAAAAATGTGCGATGAATGATTAGTGACATTTTGAAAAATTTTATAATTATTGTATGCATTTTTTGAATTTTTTATGAAATGCGTACAAATTTCATGGGTCCGGTTACTAATTCTGTAATATATTCGGTTTCTACTTTTACGCAATTTCTCCAAATTTTGTGTAAATTCTTACCATATCATGATCAAAAATGATTTCTAAATTAAACTTAAACCATGTTCAACTAAGCTTAATTCTACAATTTTCTAAAGTTCGGCACACTTTGAAACTTTGCTGCTACTCCGTTAATGATCGACGAGCTTTATCTGATTCTCCTTCTCCTCGGGTGAGATAAGATCTCGTCCAGAGAGGATGGAAACAAAAGGTGACGAAGGCGGACACGGAGGAAAGGTGAGATATTTGACAAATACACTGACCGAAGAAACGACACAAAAGAAAAGTGACCCTCACTCAACAAATCCTCCCTCATCTGACTGACCTATGTGCACATCAATAATTCCGTAATCTGTGGGTTTCTTACTAAATACGCTGTATGTATTATAACTGTTCTCATTATTATGTGTTGGCACATTTCTTTATGGTTTTTGGGCTAACTTTGTGCATTTACTAAAGGCAAGAATATGGACAATGTGGTGACAAATGATGTGTGAAATCACGACAATAATGTAATGACCACGCAGCCCTTCCTTCCAAAACTAATCCCTTCTCACCATGCAAACGTACAAAACTGAATGTGTATGTATTTGCTTCCAAATAAGTTTCGAAAACTAATCACACTGTCGCCAATGTCTGTCTACCTGTCGAAATCACAATCGTGTATCGATCAACCGACCAGCAGTTTCAGTATCAATACGAAAAAATCGATACTTTTGCCCAGAAATATTTATTACATGATTACAGTAATTTTTTCATGTTATAAATTGATGTTCCGGTCACAATTTTCGAAAAATTTGGGCTAAAAATTTGCAATTTTTCTGCAGGATCAGATTCTCCCAAAAATATATGTCCAATTTCTCTGTACGGAAATTTTCAGGATTTTTGTTCTCCAGAATTTCATGGTCAGTCCTGTAGAAATTTTCTGCAGAAATATATGTACATATGCCGAGCTATGAGCTCTCTTGTCCAAAAAATTTCAATTTTTATAACTTCTAAAATAATACTCGAAAATTTGGAAAGCCAAAAAAATCTCGGAATATCATTATTGTTTAACTGGGCATAAAAGATTTGTTTCCTTTTTGCGGTTCATTTGCATTCCATTAGCAGCTCGTTATTCGATACGTGAAGAGATTATTGTGACAAATGCTACAAGGACTCTTTTCGAAGGGATAGGAAAACGCACCACTGCTGTTGACGCATTGTTCGAGAGCATAATAAAGGCTCCGCTGACTGCCTGGGTTGCAAATCTCTTAAGTATTTAACCAACTTGAGAAAGTAAATGCTCTCCTCACTCACTTATCTTTTGTCCAGATGCAAAGTGGGCCGAAATGAAATACAGAGATTTATTTACTTCCAAAGGTAAATGTCACCAGTTAATAAAAATAAAATGCTTCTTCTTTTAAGCCCGACCGACAGATATTTACATAAACATTTTGTCCAGAAGTTTTGAATTTTTGAAGAAGAATTTCAGGGACAAATTTGGATATTTTCGGTTAACGTTGTAAAATTTTATCGTTTGTCCAAGATCTGAATTTTTATTTATTTTGTCCACAAGTTTTCAATTTTTGAAAGAATTTCAGGGACAAATTTTGATATTTTCTTTGCAAGATTTTGTCGTTTGTGAGCAAGATCTAAATTTTATTTTCGTAATTTGAGACTTCCTGTCTCTCTCCTTTTCTCTTTTACGAAATGAAAAGCATCAAATTTGTAAAGATTTTTTATTCTTCATGCACTTCACTTTTTGCTCTTTTCACTTTGCACACCATGCAGTTGAATAATTCAATGCCGGCCGAAGATGTAGAGCAGATCTTAAAGACGGAAAATAATATTGTGGGAGCTAAAATCTTGACATTGCATCGCTTCTCAGATTGATTTGATGATTGATGTTTCTCCAATTTCAGCACCTTCCTCTTCTTTCTTCTCGTCAAGACACTTTCTCAACTTTTATGTGTGTGTGATACGTTCTTATCTTGTTATTTCCCATGTTTCTCTAATAGGATGTTGTGTCACTTGATCCAATCCACCTCCTCCACCCCATCATCTCATCTCTTGTACCTGTCTTTTGCTTTTAAAAACCTGCTTCATAAATTCACAAAGAAAATCTTTATGAATGGAAACTCATGACTTAAAAAAATGAAGATTATTATTATTTAACGTGATGGTTGAGATTATGGTGCTACACGAACCCATGAATAAGAGACCTTCTAAAAAAAGGCTTCCATTTAATTCTAGAGGAGACTTTTCCATGAGAAAGTTCACAACTTTTATGATGTAAGTATTTTTAGTAAATGGAGCAAAGAGGTGTTTCTTTCTCGAACTTTGGGTGTATCATGCAGAATTTGAGATCAATTTACATGCATACACGAGAATTTGTGGAGGTGGGAATATTTATTTTCTTCTTCTTGACGAAGGAAAACGCCGAGATTAACATTTTGATATGAACGACATAATGGAACAAAAATGTACAATATCAGGTAGGAGACAGGCTCAGTAAAATTACAAATGTAAACTAGGATAACTTGCTCCTCAGCACTTGACAAAATGTTGAGAATCGTATAATCGTAACATATTTGTCGCAGTGGAAAATCTACCTGAGAAAGAAAAAAACCCTGTAAAAAATACGAATTTTGAGACGCCTGATCAAGTCATACCTCACTAACTTTCAGTCCCCACAGACCCATGAGAATGAGAGTGTGAGATTCTGCCGAGTACTTGATAACAATGAAAAAAGAGTGAAAACACACTTCAAAACCCGGTAACGGGAAAGTCCGCCTATCAATTCGGGCACCCCTTTATTTCCACGTATAACTCGCAACAATCAAGAATTATTGCTGAATAAGTATTTAGTTTGCTTAAATAAAACCCGAGAGTGACTGACTACGAACCGATTTGAATGGTTTTGTCGGTCGGTCGGTCGGGTGGTGCTTCAGTTTTTTTGCTTTTACTATTTACCCGAAAAAGAATCAAAGCTCAGAGATTCACACCAAAAATAAATAAGCAAAAGCAACCCAACCACCACACCAACACCACCCTTCATTCATTCTTATGCCAAGTGGGCATTAATACGGTATTAATAGACCCACCGATGGATTGGAGCATTTAACACTTTAAATAAATAAAATTAAACACTCAAAAGGAAACCACTTGATAATTTTCCTCCTCCGGAAAATCCAGCATCCCCGAATTAAATACGAATCTTGAAGCAATTACTACTTTCACATTCATCCCGTCACATTATTATTACTGAAAAAAGCGTCGCGATATATCTAAAATCATGTATTTATTAAGCCGGGCATCAAATTTTCAACGCCTCGCACCCCTCCGTAAACGCTTTAAAATCTGCATTTAATTTCACTCCGTAAACAGATGACCAGACCACCGAATCAGGAACAACAACTGTCGCCCCAACACCAGTCCACGTCCACGCCAAAAAAGGGTGATGCTTAAGTTACTGGTTATTTGGTGTGAACGGTTGATGAGAAGAATGGTGCTTGAGTAATTACGAGGTGAGATTAATACACTCCTCTCCTCCTCGGTAAATATATAATGGATGGTTGGCCAACCATGAAATTGTGCAAGTGATCATGTTTGGTTTTCACCACCGCCATCAATTCCTGGGATTTTTTAATCGAACGACTTAATACACACGACACGACCTCAGTCAGTCGTCTCTTTAAGCAACAAATTGGTGGGTGAAGCAGAAGCTGGCCGGTGTACATACATAAAAGCTGCGATAAAATATCTGTAAATGTTAACCCTTCAATTTGTCAGAAGACCCAGGGATAATTCATCCATAAATCATTTTTATCTATGTGGACGGACATTGTTAAGCAAATTCCATTCAGAGGAGCGAAAGAACGCTTATATTTAATAATAATGTGGTCGTGGTCTCGTACCAATATTTTTTATGACTGACTGAATGCGTGCATGGTCATTTGCACTTATTAATTTCAACTGTCCTTTGAATTTTGAGGTTTGAGTTTTGAATTTTCGATTCGTTGCATGTTTTGTTCAGCGAGCGATAAAAAAGTATTGACAGGAAAAAGCGAAATATGTAAGTTTTTTTGTGGCAGGACTTCAAGCCAAGTTGAGAAATTAAATGGTCATAATTTCATTTGGGAGTGGATCAAGCATACGTAACACGATGATACAAAAGTATTGAATTTTGACAGGGCAGTGAAATATGCATGCACATTATAACGAGACTTGGTTAAGTTATGAATCATCTCAAATTCTCACAAAATTGAAGGACGGAGAGCAAAAGAGATGAGATTAGGTGATTGATTACGATTCATAAATCGCACTTCCGGTATAGTGTTATGTACTACACGTGATGTGGAATAGCGTGACATGACCATTGCCGTATATCGATAAGGGCAAATATGCATGTATATTCACATGATTGTTTTAAGCAGCAGGATGAATAGCTGTACTTTGTCAGAATAATAATAACACGTAAAATTCAAATACCCGAATTCGGGTAGTATGCAGCAATATCCATACGAAACCATCCTTTCCCATCAAATCAATCCCTTCGCCAGTTCCGGTATTTGACGGCCAGTTGGTTGGAATCTTTTACTACTATTTTATTTTTCACACAATAAAACATTTACATTCCGACTTCTTTGTTTCGCATTTAAAAATAATTTTACAATTTCTTAATAATTTCGAATTTTTGTAAGAATTTTATTTCCTTTTTAAATTCACCCCTTTAATTTTCAAATTGATTGTTTATCTCCAATTTTAATCGCCTCCCTACATTCTACGAGTTACATAAGCTGTACGTACGATTCCATCCAACCCTGAAAATCCCGTGCCACACATTTTTCAACGAATAACCAGGATGTACATGCAATTGGATAATAATTTGCTTAACGCACCCAGAAATTAAAAACCTCAAGTAACAATACTTTTTAAAACCACGGATTGCAATGAAAGGGTTGAAAATTGATTCAGACGCAGTCACCACACCACAACCGGTCCAAATCTCTTGTTTAATACATATACGACACATATGCAATGACACAAAAAATGGAATGGGACGATCGCATTAAACATAATCAAGTGAATTTGAATGGTATTCATACTTATTTAGAAAGGGATGTTTTCAAATGGGAGTGAAACGTGATTGTCAGCAGCGGTTGTTGACAATTGCTTGACAGTTGGTTTGTTGGCTAAAGTTTTGGTAAAATACGTTTAAAAATTGGTCTCTTTAAACGAATATACTTATTTTAACACCTTTGTCAATCAGGAAATGTCTCGCAGCGTGAGGGTGGGAGCTCGTTAGTGGACAATGATGACATTTCCAAAATTGACAAGTTGATTGAAATTGAAAATATGACTTTTCGTCAGATAATCCTTTCTCCTCACGACTTACGAGCCTTAACTTTCGTTAATACCCTTCTCCTCTCCAAAATGAACTTGTACATGGCTCTTGCTTAGGTTTTTTTACTAAGGGTAAAAATAAGTGTCTTAAAAAGTCATGCTGAAGATGAACCCAATTAAGATGATCGTCAGTTAACTCAGTAATTTAATTTTTAACAGACGACACAAATACCGTCTCATTTACGAGGAATTACATCTCTTGTGCTCCCACACCCACCAAGAAGTATCCTCGTAAATAGGTGAAGGCATGCAGGCGACGTGGAAGTAAAATGTCATTACCACATATATCACATCACCCGACCGATGCCTCCTTCTTATCATGCTGCATCCACATTAGCATTCATCCCTGTCCTGTCCCTGACATGCCCATGAGTCCTTCTCAGATATGTACTCGTCCTCCGAAATGAATAAGGGAGATTAGGTTACAAATCCTACGAAAAGGGCAGCCCAACAACGTTCCCCTGCCTGGAGCGTTAAGGTGATGATGATCGAGCCCTCTTTGCCGTCCGGGTATTTAGTTTTCTCTCCTGTTCCTGATGGCGAGTAAATATTGAAGATATTAAAAATATTGAAATGTTGTACTCCCTGACTGACTGCGACTGACTGACTGGATGGGAGACTATAAACTTGGAATACCTTTTCAGAGCGGCATAATCCCTTGAATGAATGGAGGCTGCTGAATGATGACGAAGGGCTCGGGATGAATAGATCTTTCTCTCATTTTGACAAATTGACCTCACCGCTTCACTCACTCCTCAGCACTGTATTAAATTCTTGTTCAGTTCAGCCAGCTCCCATTCAACGGCATTCACCAGCAGACAATGTGAACGATGAAAGATCAATCCTCTCTTTCGTCAGGCCTTCTCGGGACAAAAGAGAAGTTTTGCTTTTTACGAAGACCAAGAAGAAATCAAGGGTTCCGGTTCGACTCAGAAATACATAGAAAAAATAAGTAATTGCAATTTGCCTAAAGGGAGGAAAGGTTTAATTATAAAATAGGTGCATCAATTTCAATTAAAATGTTCACTATGTGATGGAGATCACTTCTGTGGCGTTGTTGTTAGCCGGGCCAATTTGGTCAAGATTTGTGGCTGGCTAAATGGGAAATTAGTCCAAGTGACGAAACGTTTATTTACAGAATGCATAGTGGGAAATGACGATCGCTATAAATTTCAACCAGGTAAATGCTCCCTTCCGTGGCGTTGTTTGTTGGCCGGGCCAATTTGGTCAGGATGTGTGGCTAAAGAGGGAAATTAGTCCGGTTGGATGGACTCAGAATAACAAATACGTCAAAAGAGAGGAGGCGACTTATGGACAAAGAGATGTTGATCGGTCGGCTGCTGGTGGTATGGTGGGTCGAGAGAGTACAATAATAAGCAATATGGAATAATAGGAATCGAAATTTTGAATGCGATGATGGACATACTTTTCGTCTACTTAAACGGAAATGGTTGGATGGTCACGTTACGTTACATCACGTTACCCACGCTGCTGCTCTTCTTCTTCTGAAGGGTCAGTCATCAGTCAGGACGAGGAGATCTTTATGAAAGAGGAGGTGACTGACCAATTTTCACGACGGGTAAAGAATTCGAATCAAAATTCACCTGGACAAGGTGTGTACTTACTTTGGCCACCAGATTGATATGTCAACTAGGAATTAAAATGCTCAAAAAATCATAAATCCCTCAACTACTTTTTACTAGCTAACAGCCTAATCCCTGATTCCAAAACTCACCTGAAGGGACGATGCGATGCAGTCCCACAAAACTTTGAGCCAACTTTCTCCCACGTCCTTCTTCTTCCCTGGACTGGATTTCCTTTCTGGAATCATTGACTGCCTCCACACTTCATTCATCTTCAGTTCATCATCATCTCCTGCTTTTGCTGCCTGATCGACTTGACATGACACGACACGATACACTTTGCCGAAAGGTGCAGGCCCTTGTTTGTGTTCGTTTTATCTACCTATTTAGCTCGGGAGGAGAAATAAATAAGCAAAAAGTCGTGTTTTTGGTCCATTATTACACAAAAGGCTGAGTGGAATAGCCTTGCTTTTGCTATTTAGAAATTGAATTGCTCTAAATGGACCCTCATTTGCTCGCTTGGGTGGATTTGACCAGCCAACCAGCAACAACCAGGAATGAAAGCAAAAAGCCGAAAGGTAACATTTGCAAAGAAAAGAGAGGGTCGTCCCTTCATCCATCCAGCTCAATGGGTGCCTAGAGTAGATCTTTCATCGTTCCGAGGTGGATTAATTTTGGAAGATTTTGAAAACTCAAGTCACTTTTCGGGATGAAATTATTGTAATTTTGCAGCATTACAACTATACGTTTCCGAATTCATATTTTAGACTGAATTTCGTATCGAAATTTTGAAAATTCCAAAGGGACTTTAAGCCCTCCATCTCAATGGGTGCGTAGATGTCTTCCACCGTAGTGGATTCATTTTCGAAGCTAATAAAGTCACGTTTCTCAAGATGAGATTATTGCAATGTTATAACTTTTTAAATAGTCTTCGAATTTATTAATTTTGGGCAGAATTTCGTCTCGAAATTTTGAAAATCTGAATCCAAAGGGTGGGTGCAATGGTGAGTGAATCATTTTGACAAATGGGAATCAAATCAAGCCTCATTGAATTGAAGGACAAGGCTTTGGTCCCTTCAGCCTATTCAATTTTGAGCTCATCTCTCTCTCTGAAATCCTACATGGCAAAGGTAAAGGTCTAGGTGGTGGTGATTTTTGTGAAAGGGAACCTGAAAAAACAGTGAGATATTTAGCTGAATAAAAGGCAACGCAAATCTCTCTCCACGGATGTAATGTAATGCCACGCCACGCCATTATTATCCCCCCTTTGTGCACGGCCAGGCATTCCATTATTCCTCCGAGGAGGAGGACGGGGAGTGCATACTGAAAGAAAGGCACTTATTTGTCCTGAAATCCAGAGAGTGCAATGTGTAATGTAATCCGAGCTGTTATACCATTTGCTCTTTCCAATTCGAAATGCATGTGAGACTATCATCGTGAGGCGTGGTGGTGGTGGTACTATGAGGTTCATATCTAATCAAGGAGCTGAATAAAAGTACAAAATGTAATTAATAAAATCTGAACAAATTATAATGTAAATTATGCGTTAATAGCTTTAAAAATTGTCTAATTTAATGAACAAGACCAATTAGGCACAAAATTTAACACGAACTTAATTAGAAAATATGGACAAAATTAGTGTGCAAATTTCTATGTATTCATAAATTTCAATATTTCAAAAATTGTGTGATTTAATGGCCAAGTTTTAACAAAATTTGCACACATTAGAGCAACAAAATTTAGTAATAATGTGTATGTACTGGCTCAAAATTTAACATGAATTTAATAAAATCTCGACAAAATTAATACTTAAATTATGCATTAATAAAATTTAAATATTTTAAAATAATTAAATACGCTAAAACGATTAATTAATTATAATTAATTGCATGACCAAATTGTAACACAATTTACATGCAAATGAGCCAGATTTCATGTCACATCCTGACGAGAAGATGCCAATAATGCGGCACCACTACACGCTTGGAGGTTGATCCACTAATATAATTTTATTTACTAGTTGACGTTGAGGGGCATGGTCAACGTCAACCCAGAACAAGAACGACATAAAAAATTGCAACAATCACTTCCTAACTCAACAATTGATTCTGACAGTGTCATGCAAAAGTCCAATGTTACAAGAATGTTGTTTGATGGACATTTGCATATTTTCGCAATTAATCAACTTTGCTTAGTTCATTGGTCATTGATTAAAAATAACAGCAACTTTGGGTACAGCGAAATGTTACTCTTTAAATAAATAAAGAAATAACAATGGAGCGATAAGTGATGCAATTTGTTTCCATTGTTGCTACCCTCACCTGCCCTATAATTATTAATTATGGGTACTTTACTTATCCTGGTTTGGCTTGAGATAGATTGATGAATAACATGAATTAGTGAGCTAATTAGTACTCCTAAGAAATTTTGACTTGCATGGCTTGCTAATTCGTATAAATTTCCGTACACAAATATTTACAAAAATTCCATTCTTGATGGTATGGATTGACCGACAAGGTGTGGCCAGCTTCTTAATAACAAAATGCATATAAAATTGTACCTGTGGTAGGTAAAGAAATAGCAAAAAAGCAGGTTTTATTCCACCTAATGTCGCAATTTTAAGGTGACATTACACTCATGATAATAATAATTTACATAAATAAATATCTCGTTTACCTGTGTGCACTCATGTCTGTTAAAATGGATTAACCTCACCACCACCACCACCCAGACGACGTCTTACTCCATATATTAAGTCTGCCGTGGAAGAGTTAACTATTTGCGAATTGGTAGTTATCTATGTTATGTAAATTATTATTACTATTTGTTGGGTGGGACGTGGGATTCTCATTCGTGTTGGGAAGATCAGGGTCAATATTATGCCAAGAAGCTACCCATTAATCACTGCAGCATAAATTGTTAATAAAATTTGCTACCATTGACTGACTGAGCAAAATCGGAAGTCTTGCTGCTGGTTAAGAAAGATGAACAATGGAAGAGCAAGGTCGAAACACGGGAGTAAAAAAACTGGAGCTCTTTGTCTTGCAACAATTGGACCCTCTCGCATCATTGTTGTTGTTGATCAGCAAACACATCTCACATTTTGTGTAACAAGTCAAGTCACCTCAACTCTCACTTCTTCACATTCTTCTTGTAGATCAATTATCAGCTACATATTCTTAAATAAATAATATGCTTTGGAATAAACTTGTGTCGCTGTCTTGTCGGGTTACTCATCTACATAAAGAAGTGAATAATGACTTTATTCACACGGAGTGGAGGTCAGACACGCATTGAATGTAGAATTGATGAATTAAATACAATTGAAAATTGGTGAGGTGTAATTTGGAGCAAAATTTTTAGTTTTGCGAATATATTTATAAACCCATTTTTTTTTTGCAAAAATGGGTTTGCATTTCTTTTAATTGGCTCAGAAAACTTCATCGCTTCACTTAATTGTAGTGGCGAACTGTAACATTCTACCAAAATTAACGAGGGACAATTTAGAGCAAAATTTTTAGTTTTGATAATTCGCAATTTTTTCCATTCTTTAACAAAATGGGTTTGAATTACATCAATTTTTCAAAAATTTTGAGAAAAACCTAATCGCTTCACTTAATGGCGTGTGTACCTTCTCGACTGCGTAACATTCTACAAAATAGATTGTTAGTGGTCATGCCTCATCAATTTATAGTAATTTTTGTCTCCAATCATCCAAATATGTGTGCCCTTGAATCAAATCCAGTCAACAAGAGCGGCCTGGCCTGACAAAAATGGTTACGACTAAATGAAGCAGAACTGACTTTTGACTGATAAGCATTCCCATCAGCAAATAAATAATAATGCAACCAACCACTAATTAAACCAGATTGCATTTGCAAATTGCAAATTGGACTGCAATTTATACATCTACGCATAATAATAAGTACTTAATCACGGTGAAGTATTATCATTGATCTTGGTTTATTAAGTAGCGTCAGCTACTTATTGTGATCACTTTGTCCGTCCGTCCGTCTGTCCGTCTGTCCGTCCGTCCGTAAGCAGGATATCTTTAGAATGCCTCAAGATAATCAAAAGCAGTTTTCGCCATTGTGCTTCTAATTTTTAGTTCTCGGTCGAGTTCGAAAATGGGGTCAATCGGACCACCCCCCACAGCGCCAGGGGGTGTGGTTCAAAATTAAATTCACGTTAATTTTCATATGGGGTATCATTTTAAAGGAAATTTGACCGCGATTTCAAGGACGTTAATATTTTTGACCTCATGACCTTGTAGACGAGGTCACAGGTCAAAAAGACACTTAATTGTCATATGGGGTGTCATTTTAAAGGAAATTTGACTGCGATTTCAAGGACGTTAATATTTTTGACCTCATGACCTTGTAGACGAGGTCACAGGTCAAAAAGACACTTAATTGTCATATGGGGTATCAATTTAAAGGAAATTTGACCACGATTTCAAGGACGTTAATATTTTTGACCTCATGACCTTGTGGACGAGGTCACAGGTCAAAAAGATACTTAATTGTCATATGGGGTGTCATTTTAAAGGAAATTTGACTGCGATTTCAAGTACGTCAATATTTTTGACCTCATGAGAGTTAGGACGAGGTCATATACGGAAACGCTAAAGGAAACTTAAATTGCTCTGACGCTACTTATTTACATTCGTTTGGAGGGTTTATTATTATTTGCTAATGACTTGCAATATAATTGCATCGAATCAGATAAGCGATACACTTACAGATACATTTCTTATTAGCCTGCGTGTTCATGTTGTTACACGATGAACGACTAACAACTAATCCATCTTGGCTGTTGAATGCATACGTATGTAAATAAACCGTCTCAAACGAACATTAAAAAGTGGCGTCATACAGTGGCATATAACGTGAAACTATATGAAAATTATGCGATTTATGACCTTTAACCTCGTCCTCACGGTCATGGGTTGGTCGGAGTTTAAAAATATTGACGGCGTTTCGGGTTGAAGTTTAGTAAAATAAACCCTTGCAAACGAATATAAAAATAAGCGTCAGAACGATTGAAATTTGCTTTAAAATGACACCATATATGTCAATTATGGATTTTTGACCTTTGACCTCGTCGTCACAGTCATGAGGTCAGAAATATTAACAGCACTGAATTCGCGGTGAAATTTCCTTTAAAATGACCCCCCAATATGAAGATTAAGGTTAAATTTAATTTTGGACCAAACCCCCTCGCGCTGTGGGAGTGGTCTGATTGACCCCATTATCCAAATCGACTGAAAACTAAAAATTAAAAGCACAAGGTCTAAAACCACGTTTGATTAAGTTGAGACGTTCTGGGCATATCCTCCTCACAGCCGGACGGACAAAACGATCACATAAAGCAGCTCACGCTACTCAATAAATGTCATTTAAATTTATGTATAACTCCTTTCCATTATAATTATTCATTTAGCCTCAACTCGTCCACTTCCTCTCCTACCCCTGCCTTAAATAACTGTCCACTTTTTAATGTCATCAGCCATTACAATCGTCCCACCACCTCAATTAAAACGCTGGTGGTCTTGTAGCGTAGAGAAGAAGAAGGTGGGGCGGAGGAGGAGGACCTGGAGAATTTCTTCCTCTTTTGTTCCTTCTCAACTTAAATGGAAATGTGGTGTACTTTACCCAATTAATAATTCACTTCCCATCTCTCTTTTGTGGTCTGGTCTCGTCTCGTCTCGTGGGTGACGATGGACATGCAAAAAAAGTTGCTACACTCGAGATATTTATTGGATCGGGAAGTTGATGGGACGACGCCAAGGGATGGCTTTGATCTGTGTGATCTCATAGCCATTAATTTACCTTATTAGCCCAATCTCCTATACCTGATGATGCCGTGATCTAGTTCTGGTCTTGACATTGACTTTGGGTTTGCCTTCTTCTTCTCACTATATTCGCTACGATTTAGTTATGCAGTAGTGAAATGCGATGTGATGTGATGAGATGATGGGCCTTGCCCTCCTATAAATAAGATGCTTCCCTGCTGGAAGACCATCATTCAATCGTCCGCTGGAGTGTAAAGTAGTTGACCGTTTTCTCAGTCTTCTTCTCCCTCAACTTCACATCATGAACCGTATCGTAAGTCGGAAACTTGAAAAGTTTTCGGAAATTTTCTATCAATTTACACATTCTTTTTATAACAGGTAATCCTCCTCGCCGTCGTGGTGGCTGCATCCGCTCAACGCGGTGGAGTCGACCCAAAGAACGCCGCCATTTTGGCGGAAGCTCGCTATCTTTCCGGAGACGGTAGTTTTGGCGCAGCTTACGTGCAAGAGGATCAAACCGAGTTCAAGGAAGAGACTGGAACGAACGGAGAGCGAAAGGGGCAATATTCTTACGTCGACAGGGACGGCAAGAAGTTCACCGTGCACTACACCGCCGGAAAGAATGGGTTCCAAGTTAGTGGCGATCATCTCCCGAAAGCCCCAGCTGCCGACCCCATTCACACGCAACGGTAGGGCAACTAATTGACTCGTTTTTACGCATAATTTTTGATAGGATGGCAATTTTGAGGCATAATTTTTGAAAATTTTACTCCATGTTTCCAGAGCCCCAGCCGCCCCACAATACAACACTCAGCCACAGTACAACGCTATTCCACACCAGCCAGCCCCCCAACAGAACTATGCTCGAGGGGGTGCTGATGACGATGGTCAATACCGACCAGAGGTAATATTTTATCATAATTAATTAAGCAATTAAGTAGCAGATTGCATAATATACTTAATTACTCCACAGCTCCACGAGGCTCCATACCAATACCGGGAGGGCAGCAGCAACAACAATGGACAACAATACCAACAAGCCCAGTACAACCCAGCTCCCCAACAACAAGCCCGACCAGCCCCACAACAATTCAGCCAAGGCTTCAACTACCAAAATCAAGGGTTCTCCAACAACTATCAGCAACCCATCCAGACCACGACCCCACAACCCACGCGCTTCTTCCCCCCTGGCAAATTGGACCTCAACCGAACCCCGGACGGTTTCAACTATCAATTCCAATCTAGACAGTAAATTTCTAGTAAATGTTTTAGCAAATTTTATATTAATTTAAAACTTTCTTCTTCTCCCAATTTGGAAATTTTCTTCAAAAAATTTACATCTTTCTTATACCCACGCTTTATTATGGAACTTTTGTATACAATTTTACAGAAAAAGGAGAAAAAATACAAAAATAAATGAGCTACTTTTTTATAAAATTGTAATCTTATGTAATTTTTGCATTTACGGGGAAAAAATTACTTTCTGAGTGACATGACATGACACGCAACATTTTCATCAAGGATGCAGCAACAAATGTCTTTGTTGAAAGTTCTTTATAGTGAAATTATTTTTGCATGATTTTTGCAAAAGTCGAGCAAATGCATGCCTGCTGAGATCTGCAGCAGATCTGTTGTTTGTTTTAATTGTGTGAGTTTGAGTTTAAACTTAACCAACCATGCATCATAATCGAGACGACATTGAGACGAGGAGACCTTGACTTGTCAATCCATCCATTTAACATCGATTTATACCATGTCAACTTTTGTCTTTTGTTCATCCACAAATCGTTAATTTGCAATTTTGAACAACACATTCCCTTTTGTGCGAATTATATCAGTATTTCGTAATTTGACACTACTAGTAGAAATTAATTGTACTTAAAATGGATAATTTTTTTTGCATGAAAAAAGAATTATGTTCAAGATTATTTGCCAATTTTCATTGTCTTATGAAATTTGGCATGATGGCAGTTTATCAAGTTCAGGTCACGGTGCTGTGACCATGCTTAGCAATGAATACAAATGCAACGGTGGAGAGAATGGCATTTTAGATATTTTGCATCTGCATTTGCCTTTTCGTTCTTGAATATATTGCTGAATAACTGATGATCTTGATATCAAGATTTTTAGTCGAGGACTCAGCAAAGCAGAAATTAACATGGGGCAGACTGACGGTATAAGAATTTCGAAAGGATTTATGCATTACGACAGCACAACAGCCAATTTTTGGTAAGGTTTACGTTTGAAGGCGTCAGTTTAGATTTAGATTTTACGTTCATAAACCGCAGTAGTGCAGTCAAGGAAGAAAAATCAACACTTTTCTGTATAGAAATTCCTGTCGAATTTTAGTGTACAACAGAAAACGCTAAATAACTGTCAATTCACTTTGAAACCTTTAAAGTTGATCAACTAGTGGAAATATTTGTCCTATTTTTATCCCAAATTTAGTAAAATAATGCAAAATGCGTGTATAATATAATACGAACAACGGTCAGTCAAACCTTCTTCATTCGGTTCGGTATAGATGGATTTGACATTAACACGCTTACCTTACAGAAAGTGAGTGTTTGAGGACCCCATTGTGCATAAGTGACTCCTTGTTAGTGTCAACCCACTCAAGAATAGGTGAGAATAATGTGAAAACACGAAAGGTGGATCGCTTGGGTTGGGAAAGTGTCAAATTTTGTGGAAACGGGAATTTGGACAGACTCATTAATCCGCAGAGTTAACTTTTGTCAGTTAATAATCGTTTCCCTTTCAAAGAAGAAAGAAGGATGGATGGGTGACTTGTAACATGACGTTTGACTAGAAAAATGTGTAGGTGACTCAAATGCGATGATGGGTGATTCCTGACGAGTGGAAAATATTCCGGCGAAATCGAACAGAAAATATTTAAGGCGACGCCTGGATTATGGGGAACACGGTGGCTGTTAGTGTGCGCGTGGGGGGAGGAGACAAAACGACGACGGACGACTCATGCGAGTCCGACTGGGAGGATGGAGAGTATTATTTCTTGGATGATTATGGAAACTATGTCCATCAAGATGATTTTCTACATTATTACGCAACTATTTCGGAAGGGCGGTGAGTGAACTGATTATCTTTACACAGTTAACGCATGATTTATCACCAATTAGCACATTTTTAATCATTTCTCGGGGTTGGGAATTTATTTTAAAATTCTGGACGACAAATTTGCAGTCGGTAAGTTGATTAATCGAATGGGGGTGAGTTTCTAAGCCAGTTTCAATGAGTTCCAACTTTTCTGAAGGCTTGTTTAAACTAGAGTTTAAACAAGTGTCAAAATCTGGAGTATCTAGAATGAGAGGAAAATTGGCAACAACCTGGTCTACAAAAATGCCGTCCAGAATTTTTAAAACAAATTCTCAGGGGCGAGAAATGATTACAAAGATAAATGCGCTGTTGTGCTAAATTAATCACAATTTTAAAAAAACACCAACTTTAAACTTTATTTATACATACTACATATCATATTTATGCATAGACTCTCTTCGTAATGGCGTCATCATGGTTCACAATTCATATTTTCGCATTGCATTTCTCTCCAGTTGCTAATGTCACAAATAATTACACAATTTCAAACAAAATAAGAGACCACGCCACGCCAGACGCTACACGAATCTTTAACCGCCGTATTTAACTTTATTCTTAAATTTTTTACGTCCCCACAAATTTCAAAAAATTCAATGTAGTCTTTACGAAAAGAATGGAAAGCGAATATTATTTAGACGATAAGTGGTTTTGGATAGCGTGCGTGGCGCTCGTCTGCTTGTGGGCGTTGGTGATGTACCTCCTCTGCAAATGGGCGGGGTCCTGCTCCTCCAAGTCCGCTGGGGACGTGGGGGCTGGAGGGGACCACGTCCACATCTGCACGTGTCGCAAGGAGTGTGGCGACCCCACCAGTGCCAGTAACCATAAATGGGGTACCATTTCGCGTTCCGAGCTACTGGAAGAAATCCTGATCAATAATAATAAGTAGGTTTCTATTTATTTCTAATGCGGGTTTAATGAATTATTTAATTGCAAAATAGGTAATTACATTTTCATAAGAACGACTCAAAACGAAATTTATTACTTATTTCTTTGTATGCAAAACTATCTTTGTTGCCTTACTCGACTTTATCTGGTTAGGCTGAGAAATGAAGCGGTATTTTATGCAACCACCACCGGCGTGAAACCACACCAAAATATAAACAAACAATCTGGCTGTCAAAAAATGTAGATTATTAATTTTTAAATATTGAAAGTATCTTTTAATTTTTTTTTAGTATTTGATTTTCAAGTTATTACTGGACCTGTGATAGATAACTGACAATAGAAGCGCAGAAAGTATTTATTAGTATTTTTAAACTGACTGAGGAAACTGAATCATATGTTTAACTTTTGAGTGAAAAGCACAAATTAGTTTTTAAAATAAAAATGAAGATAACCTTAAGACTGGAATTTTGTGAAATATTGCTCACTGCTGTGATATCTTCGACCTTGACGCTTTTTTTCGTCGGGTATTTCGGTTTGGAAAGTATTCTGCAATTTAGCGATATTAACAGGTGGGTCGCATTTATTTTTTTATATTTCATAATGAAATTTTCATTATTAATTGAATAGATTAGATACGTACACTAGTTTTTAACAACCTTTTGTCTCGACGAAAATGATAAGCCAACCCTATCTACTAATGCATTATTGGTAAACTTATTCGTTGCCAAGCCATAAGTGCAGTTTTTAGTAGCAAGTTTTAAATAACATATCGAGTCGAGACCGAGCTAGAGAATTATTTTTTTAAACACATACACGTAATTAACAATAATTATTACAAAAGTAGACTAGACAAGTTCAAAAACTCTGAAAACTACCAGAAATTAAAATGCCATTATTACAACATTAAGAGTCCGAAGATAACGAAATTCAGAGATGATGATAAGCAGACTTGTAATATCCAGTCAAATTACTCTGAAACCCATGTAAGTACAAAGTCAAAGTAGAGACGTTGACGTTGATGAATCAACGCCAACTTTCGCCAAAATTTATATTTTTCCTGAAAAGTTCGTTTTACGAACCTTTCTAAATTAAATATTAGATGTGAGTCACTGCTCATCGTCACAGCTTATAAATATTTATGAGCTGCAGTTAGAATTTGGAAAGGTGTTAATTAGGATGCAAATATCCAAACGTAAACAAAGTCAGGCATATTAGCACACTCTCTGCTTCTGTTTTTCCATTGTCTACGTCGAAGGTTGCCTCGTGGTCTGGTCTCCTAATATTTTTTTGCACACAAAAACATCCACCGGCAAGTGGGTGTTGGTTCTTTGTTCGGTGTCGGAAATAACCCGGGTTCGGGTTTATTTTGCAATAGTGAATTCGCCCAGATTCGGTTTCTCGGTTTTGCTAGTGTATGTAGTAATAGTGGTGAAATAAAGTTGGTCACGGAAAAGAGGTTGAATTCAGATTCACCTACTTACTTTACTTTTCACATCATCTGACTGGTAAAAAAAATCATCCGCAACTTTGAACGAGATCGAATTCAAGGTCTTTACGTTTTCGAACCTCTCTCATCTTTTTGGCTGGCATACTCTTAGTTGACTGACTTTGGTGGAGGCCAGATATTTGTTTCAAGTATTTAGGTGTCGTGTGAATTGTAAAATTTTAAAGTGTGGCGATAGAATATGGAATAGAGATTTTTTTGTAAATAATCAGAAAAGGATTTATCTTGGCAAATTGTGATAGCATAAAAAATTAACAAAATGCAAAGGGCTCAGAGATTGTCCATCATTGTGTAAGTTGTTAATTATAAATGTTCCCAAAAAGATGAATACAATTTAAAATTCACTTGTTTGATAGATTTTAAATCAGTACGTGGTTTTAAGTAATTATTTTTTTTCAGCTTCGGTAAAAATGGAACGAATGCCAGAGTGCTGTTCAAGATGGACCCAAGGCGGGACCGTCTTGGTCAGCGACCGCTTCACCACGACGCGGGGGATAACGTGTGCCCTAACATGGTTCGAGGAATCGATTACCTCAGAGATCCCAGGTTGAACAAGGTAAATAAGTCTTGGATGCAGTAATTTACTAAATAGTTACCGAATTAATTTAATTAATGAGAACAATAATTATCATGTGTTTCGATTTACTTTACAGGGGATGGCGTTTACGCTAGAAGAACGACAAAGATTAGGCATTCATGGGCTTTTACCTCCCAGATTCAAGTCGCAAGAAGAACAAGTTCGTCTATGCAAGGAAAATGTGGCAAGATACAGTGAAGATCTTAATAAGCACATTTATCTCGTGGGTCTGCAGGTTTGTGGGTGGAAAAAATATAACAGATCTCCTGTTTTCAGAATTTCACAAATAATTGGATTCCTGTTAATTTCCAATTTTCAGGATCGAAATGAACGCTTATTTTATAGACTAATTTCTGAAAATGTACAAGAAATGTTGCCCTTAGTTTACACACCAACTGTCGGCTTAGCTTGTCAAAAATTTGGTAGGTTACGTCGTTTATTTTTGTACTTTGAAAAACTTGTAGCTTCTTGTGATTATTGATTATGCATTTAATCTTAGGTCTAATCTTCCGTCGACCAAGAGGACTTTTTATTTCTATTCATGACAAGGGACACGTTTACGAAGTTTTAAAGAATTGGTGAGAACATGAAGTGAATTATATTCCTCATTGAGATATAAACTTTGTACGTATTACCGTAATAATGTTTCACAGGCCGGAAAATGATGTTCGAGCTGTCGTAGTCACTGATGGTGAACGAATCTTGGGGCTTGGCGATCTGGGCGCGTACGGGATGGGGATTCCGGTGGGAAAATTGTCATTGTACACTGCATTGGCTGGAATTCCACCAAATTACTGCCTCCCGATTCTCCTCGATGTGGGGACGAATACCCAATCTCTCCTCGACGATCCGTACTACATTGGGTTAAACCACAAACGTATAACGGGGCCGGAATATGACGAATTTATAGATGAATTTATGCAAGCCGTTGTTCGAAAGTATGGTCAAAATACCCTGATTCAGGTAAACTATAAGTATAGTTATGCATGCATATTTCCCGTTCAAAATATTTAATTGATCTACTATTCCTTCGCAGTTTGAAGATTTCGCAAATCAGAATGCTCACAGGCTTCTCGACAAGTACCGAAACAAATACTGCACATTCAACGATGATATTCAAGGAACTGCCTCCGTCGTGCTAGCCGGAGTCTTGGCCTCTCTTAAAATATCCAAAATGAAGTTGATTGAACATAAGTTCCTCTTTCTCGGGGCTGGCGAAGTATGAATAATACTTAATAATTTTGCGCACCTTGTTTTATGGATAAATTATAATAGTTAATTTATTAAATTGCCAGGCTGCCTGCGGAATAGCAGATTTAATTTATCAGCAAATGTTGAAAGAAGGTGCCACTTCGGAACAAGCAGCATCGAGGATTTTCTTATGTGTCAGTACACATACGTAATTGTTGAATGCAATCTGAACGAATATAAAAACTACAACAATTTTTTTTGAACAATGATTTTGCAGAACAAGAATGGACTCCTGTCGAAAAACAACCCAACCGAGACTTACACCGAAGAGAAAATTTTATTTCTTAAAGACATGCCACATATGACTAATTTTGCTGAAATGGTCGAAGCCATCAAACCCACTGCCATTTTTGGTGAGGATTTATTCCCGTAAATATGTATTTGTTTAATGGATAAAAATATTTATAATTCAGGTGCTGCTGCTGCAAAGAATGCTTTCACACCCGCAATTTTGAATCGAATGGCTGAATTGAATGTAATAATGATATTGGTCTTGCATGCAATAATTAACCGAAAATTAATCACGATTTTTCAACAGGAGCGACCAATTATTTTTGCTTTGAGTAATCCAACATCGAAGGCTGAATGTACGGCGGAAGAAGCGTATGATCATACCGACGGACGTGCTATCTTTGCTAGCGGTTCACCATTCCCAATTTATGACAAGAACGGACGACATTTTGAACCTGGTCAAGGAAATAATGCGGTAATTAATTAAGAAAAGCGAGAAATTCAATATTAGAGTTTAATTAATTTCATGCAAATGTGTTTTTTCTGGCAGTACGTGTTCCCTGGAATTGCTTTGGCCACCATCACTGCCGGAATTCATCATATTAGTGATAATATTTTCTTGTTAGCGGCTGAGGCGAGTCTCACAAATTAAATACTTATTAATAATTCCGTGCTACAATGTACACATTTCTCTGTAATGTAAATATAATTGGTGGTTCTGCACGTTTATTTCAGGAACTGGCCAACCTTGTGTCGGAAAGTGATCTGAAAGTTGGCAGATTGTATCCACCTCTTGACGATATTAAAGCCGTGTCAATGAAAATAGCGACTAAAATTGTTGAAGATGCCTATAAAAATGGTAAATTATTCGATTCTGTACTAATTCTTGTTGTGCATACAGCCAGGAATGATTAATTATTTTTATCCTTTTTAAAAATTTGGCAATATGTGTAATTTAGTTGATAATTTGCTGCTTTACTATTATCCATGCTTTACCAACTAACAATTTTACAGGAACGGCAAGTACATATCCCGAGCCAGAAAATAAGCTTGAATTTATGAAGCTCGAACTGTACACTGAAGGTTATCCCAACCCTCCCGTTTCCTGGCCTTATCCACCAGTCTGACCTTTAAATTTTCTCCTCCTGTTTGTGCCACAGTACAAAAATTTGCATGAAGTGAAACTAATAAAATTGTGCTATGCCTGCCTACATAATAACTGCTTTTGCTTTCTTTATTGTGTCGCTTTTAACTTTCTTGTGCTAAATATCTGCTTCTTTTTCCTTTCATGGTGGTGGTCTAAACTTTATCGTGCTCTCTTGCTTTCCTTCCAGGATATGCATTTACTTATCCAGAACCGAAGAACAAATTAGATTTCATTCAGGAAGATTTGTACGATTATCATAATCGCCCATCTCTCTGTATCCAGTGGAACTATCCAAAATCTGTCACTTCATTTCATGACCAATAAGTTGACGAGGAATAAGCTATTAATAAGAATAAGTGAGAACATCAATTTAGAAATTACGCGTGGTTTTTGCGTTCATTTTTTCTTACTTATTCGTTTGGTTTGATTCGAAGTTTGTATCAATTAAATAGGATAAATGTTGAGTTTGATTTGTTTAAGTTTTATATTGCGACCAACAAGTACAAGGGTTGTATCTTTAATATGTATTTATTTTTCAGGGTACGCATCAACCTATCCAGAACCAGAAGATAAATTACAATTCATGCTTCGAGGACTTTACGATTATCAAAACAGACAGTCGATTCCCTCCGTTTGGGAGTGGAGCAAGGAAGTCGTCGCCAGTCGGACGAAATAATTTACATGAAACCACCGAAGATGACAGTGAAACTAGTTATAAGATGGATTTTTATTTTACATGAAAAAGACCATATTATCATCAGCATTCGACGATAAAGTTATTACTACTAGTGCTATTTCATCGTCCACGTGAAGTGTAGCAATATTTGGTAGTGATTTCCTCGCTCTTAATTAGACTATTAAATAATGTGATAACTTATACAACAGTGAAGACAAGAAAAATCGAAGGAAATTTAACACTAAAGAGATGAGAAGGGGAGTGACTTAGCGATAATAATGGTAACAATCAGTAAATAATATGTATGTAATGTGTAGAATCCTTTGATAACTAGTATCAATTTATGCAAAGCCGTAAAAATAGTCAGGTTCTTCTTCGTATTAAGCTGTGTAGTAAAATCTTTTAGCTCGTTATCTTTACAAATAGTTCAATAGACGCAGATAATATGACTCTGTAAATAATTATTCCCAAAAAAGAAACCCAACGCAAAATCTGTTGAACAGAAAATTTCAATTTTTGACAAATGCAAATGTGGTAAATGCAATTAAGACTCATTCCTCCCCGTAATTGAATTGACGTCTTAACAAACAGTGAAATTGAAATGTGTGGGTGCTTTTGCATACAAATGTGTAATTCGTTTCTTTCTACCTCAATTTACGTGTGTACATATAATATATTTATTCGTGTTTCCTCCGGGATCGGGTTTTAATTATTTTATAAGTAAAAACAACAAATGTCAAGAAGAAAGAAACCGGCGGTGTGTATTTCTCCTCCGCTTGGGAAATGTTTGTACTCTTGTCTGTTGTAATAAATCCCCATGACCTGGATATGTAGTTACGGAGTACCCGCGGTGGTTGACGTAAATCTCGGAAGAATGAATGTATATCAATTTCACATCCCAGTCTGTTTGCTAAATAAATTGCACTGTAACCCAAACCTCTTGGCTCTCTGATATCAGATATCTATAGATATCTATAGATATCTATATATCAGATATCAGAGATATATAGATATCTCTGATATCTCTGATGTCTGAAAGGAGGAACTTTCTCACTAGCAAGTCGAACAAACTAAACTACCAACCGTGCAATATGTCGCCGTCGTTAATGTTTTTTAGGGATCCAGACCAAACAGTGTTTCGGGTGCAAGTAACCACTTGCAAGAAAGTGGTTTCTTGCAGCTATTAATTTTGACCTGCAAGAAATCCAAGGCGCAAAAAACTATGCCCCGCCGCTATTTTACTTCACACGACGCGTGGCGTGATGGCCCTTATTTTTTGCAGTTTTTTGCACCTTGCATTTCTTGTGTTTCTTCCTTTGCAGTGCAAGAAATGTGCAAACCTATAAGAAACGAAACACTGCCAAAACACATACATTTTGATTGAAGGTGGTCAGACGAAAGGGATCGATCCAGCGATTGAGTTACGTAAATGCGTACGTACGTAGTTATAAACATTTGATATCTTGCTCGACTTTATCTATCTCCCGTACGTCTAGGATTTCAATTCAAATTGAGTGAAATGTGAAACATGGAATTGCTTTAGTTTCTCTCGCAAAGCTGATTTACAATTGTAATACATTTCTGAACGAGAACCAACGGACCAGAATTTGCAAATATAAACAATTTATTAACTTTGTAATACGGTCTCGTCGTCGATTTGTAAATTCGGTGTCAAGGGATTCGAGCGAATAATATTCATTCCTATCTTCAACTTCATCATCAGCAGAAGTCAACTAGTTTGACATTGTGTGTTTCGAAAGATATTTACATAGATTCTTTGACCCGGTTTGAACATTGTGCGGCAGGATGTGCACGATTTTTTAGCACGGATTGCTAAATATTTACATGACATATTTATTTCTGAGTTCATCTCGTGTCAAATTGTCAATGTACTGTCAACACTTTTTTTCTCGGTAATATGACGAACGAGGAGATGAACAATGAATATGAAATTGCGTGTGTTAGATTTATTTAGCCGAGATTTTTTACAAATTGAGCCAATCATCATCTTGATCATATCGATCGAGGACAAAAGGACAATGTCCCCACGGTTATTCGATGTCCCCATCATCATCTGCCCATCTTATTGTAAATGTCCCCAAATGTCCCCACCGCTTCCGCGGTCACTGATCGAGGGTGGTATCGTGTGCTTATCATTATTTCTACTTGGAGATCACGCAGGTTAAAGTGATTAAAGATACGTAAATTGATAAATAAATATCGTTGCAGTAAATGCGACACTTTTCCTTATATAATAATCTAAAAACACTTTGGGTCTGGTCGATGGGTTCAATGGGTCACCTGTCATGATGTCATGTCATGCAGTTTTATGGGTTCCTGCCATTCAGGACAAACGACTTGTTTTCCTCATATGTGTCCAAATTATGTCACTTTATGTATTTAAGTCAGTAGGTAATAAAAATAACAAAGTATTCAAACCAGAAAATTTGACACTTTTGCTTTTATCGAGGTTATGAAAACACTTTGAAATGCGAAAAATGAGTTGGGTGATAAGACGCGCGGTGTGGTTTCAAGGAAGGAAAATATTTTTATTTCTAAATAGACGCCGCTTATATAACGACCAAAATATGCATGATTATGTATTTATATCTCAGTCTTTGAAATCAGTGTTTCGTTTCTTGCTGGTTTGCTGCATTTTTTGCACTGCAAAGCAAGAAACGCAAGAAATGCGAGGTGCAAGAAACTGGGAGAAAGTGCAAGAAATCTGCGCCCTATGAAGGAATTACAGCGGGTCACAGTTTCTTGCGTTTTGCATTTCTTGCAGGTCAAAATAGCTGAAAGAAATCACTTTCTTGCCATTATTTCTTGCAAGTGGTTATGAACTTGCACCCGAGACACTGCTTGAGAGACAAGATCGACTCCCAATTTCGAAACCACTGAGCCATTAAAACCAGACAAATTTTATGCATAAATACGACTTACACAAAGGAACTTAAGGATTCGAATTCACTTCCTGTTTACCGGCGGTAGCTAAAATTCCATTCATTTTTTTGTCCTCCAAAGCCTTAAAACTGATTGTTTTCAGGACAGACTAACGTGAATGAAGTTTTTTCGCCGTGTTGGTAAACAAAACTATAAAACGAAATCTGCAATGAAACGAGAAGTCTCTTCAACCCGAAAAACGTGTAACCTCTACGAGTCCCGTCCCGTCCCATTATCGTAGTTAATGCGTACTTGCGTAGTACCCTTTAACGACCTACTACTCCTGCATGTACATAGAAGTACTTACAAAACAGCACAGAGCGAGGAAATTGGCCATAAATTATACCGTGACAAGACACACCAATAATTCCACTGCCGAGGCGTCTTGCCAAATAAAATACTTGGAAATACGAGAGAAACACATGGCAAATTCTCATCATGAGGAGGAACTTATTTTACGTGAATGTTCCCTAATCTGTTTCTGTACATGCTGAAATAATTTGCTGCTTTTATACTTCTGCAAAAACATGGTCGGACCCAGTGGCCGCGGAAGCTGTGGGGACATCTGGGGACATTAACGTTGCAGGATAGGGGAGGGAGGGGTTTATATAAGATGAGCAGATGATGGGAACATCGAATAACCGTGGGGACATTGTCCCTCTGTCCCCACACGCTTCCGTGGCCACTGGTCATACCCGAACAGGTAAACACTTTTTTGTTACTTGCTTAATTTGCACGCATAATGAGCAACGCACTAAAATCTTCGTATGTATCTACTCTAATAAAGTGTTAGTATGATCCCTGGGTCCGTCTTCGCAATGCAAATTGCCCCATACAGTAGACAAAGAAGGAAGCGGAGCAACCACTGCATGCATGCACTGCACTGCATGAATAAATGAATACATGAACATGTACACCCCACATACATACATCACTCATCAATAGTGGTTATCATGATAAGTGATCGTGATAAACACTATTAATTAATTATTTTAGTTTGAGAAACTCTACCCACAGCGAGTGGCATGTCAATTCGAATGTATTTTTGACGCTGAATCCAACGCCGTCAATGGTTTTGACCTGCGAGGCCCCCGTGACCTCGCCGTGACCGTGGTGTCCAAATCTGGCTTATTCGTGATGTCGCATATCAATTCGAATGTATTTTTGACGCTGAATCCGAATCAGTCAATAGCTTGGCGTTAATTGTAGAAGTTAACGGGGTTTATGGAACTTAACGGGAGCGTGAAGCGTGGGAATTTAAATAGTTAGCTATGCAGTTACTCCCACGCGACGGGAATTTAAGTAATTAGCTATTCAACTACTCCCACAGGGGGGAATCAAATTTTACTGTGACCAGGTTAATTAAAATGCAGTATGACTTGGGCAAACCCTCAGTCTGATGTATGTATGTAGTATGACAAAGTCTCCACTGGGAATTATTTAAAATATAGTATGACGGATTTTTCGCTTTGGGCACACCCCCCACTGGAACTCTAGAACCCGGCCTTGGCCGGGCTATACGCTAGTGTTACATAAATAACCAGACACACATGTCCATATATATCAGGACACATTTTAAAAGTTGGAAAAGATTTTCCCTTGCTTCTCCAACCTGTCAATCAGTCTGAAACATCGAAAACAGTTTAAAATTATAGGACTCGGTCGGCCGGTGTTATCTGTGTATGCATTTAATGGGGATGTTTGTTTCTTCTGCCGGTCGGTAAGTAAGTGGTCTGCATGAAATGGAACGAGTGGAAAACAAAACTATCAAAAAGCAGTTGGTGGAATCATCACCCGGGGAAATATTATTTAATGCCCGGCCCGGTGTTTTGTTCCTTTCTCGTCTCTTGTCAAACTGTTTTCCGGTCTTTCAAACTGTACACATACAAGTTGAACAGTAAAGTTTGTCAACTTATTGAGTAACAGGAGAAGCTGCAAAACAACCAATTTCCTAAATTGCATTCAAATTAATCTCATCATAACATGCATTCATATGAATGTTCCCTTTGAACTCCAAACTTAAAGACTCTCTTACTTAACTTATATAAGTAAAATGAAACATAATACGATTTTCTATTTCAACTTATTAAAGACACGTTTACAGAGAAATATGCAAAGGTGGAAGGTGGAGTCGGGCAAAATAATAGGCGACAATTGAAATAAACAAGTTTTATGTGTGTCCATATTCCCGTAGAAGATCTGTCCTGTTCTCGAACTTTACAACAACAACAGAGCATAGCTTAGCATAGCTTTCTTCTTGCATACCTATCTACCAATTCTGCCCACCCTCGCTTTTGCAAAATATCAGATGTACATACACACAGGAGAGCATATAAATAGGCGTCTCTCTCCCGTCCGGGAGAAAATGCGACGCAGTTTCCCATTCCCTATATCCCACAAAAAGAAGAATAACACTGGATTGTGGAGTGGAGTGGAGGGTCGTTTTGGCGAAAGGACGTGACCATGGAGTCGCTGGCTATATAAACCCCGAACGAAAACAAGAAGTTCTTGAGAAAGGATGTCATTGTGGACGAGATAACATTCCATTAGCATGGGCGAAATGATTCACTCACACAAAATGCATTCTTCATCCATTGAAGTACAGATGAACGCCAACCTGGAACCGATAACATGCCATGAATTTTCATTTATGCATTTTGTCTATGTCACAGAACTTATGTAACAAGTTAGGAAACTTAAAAATTAAACTGAATATGGACGCCAACCTGGAACTGACATCATCTTGGCATCATGTTTTGACATTTAAGCATTTTATGTGTTGCATATGTTCCAGAAATTATGTAACGAGTTTGCCAATCTAAAAATGGATCTGATCAAGGGGCAGATATTTTTAATCCGTTAAAAAAATCCTAACATGTAATCCACCTGGCCCTTTTTATTTTGTTTTGCCACTTACGTTATGTAACCTATGAGCCATGCACCTACTTAAAAGCAAGTAGATGGGCAAATAAATAGCATGATACACGTACCTA